GGGAAGTGTGAGGGGCGGAATGGGAAGTGTGAGGGGCGGAATGGGAAGTGTGAGGGGCGGAATGGGAAGTGTGAGGGGCAGAATGGGAAGTGTGAGGGGCGGAATGGGAAGTGTGAGGGGGGGGGGGAATGGGAAGTGTGAGGGGCGGAATGGGATGTGTGAGGGGCGGAATGGGAAGTGTGAGGGGCGGAATGGGAGTGAAGTGTTCGGTAATGTGCATCAATAAAATGTTGGCTGCTGTTGATTAGGTAGGCTGATGACGAAAGTCTACTGTTGATTAGGTAGGCTGATGACGAAAGTCTACTGTTGATTAGGTAGGCTGATGACGAAAGTCTACTGTTGATTAGGTAGGCTGATGACGAAAGTCTACTGTTGATTAGGTAGGCTGATGACGAAAGTCTACTGTTGATTAGATAGGCTGATGACGAAAGTCTATGGTTTTCATCAACTTGACGATAAATTGTGGATGGTTGTTAATAATACAACGTGTGATAGTGGGATGATGTGGCATGATAGCGTGTTGAGGTTTTGATTTATCTGAAGGCAGCGTCGTATTTCGTGTCGTTTGAAGATTAATGTTTTGGTATTGACAGCAGTCAAAATGTGGGAAAAAATCAGCATCGACGTTTGTAGATTGAATTAAAAGATAAAAACAACATGTACTTAATAAGTGAGCTATCTGATAGGGATTTTAGTCAAAACAGTTTTACTTGTAAATGTCATACATTAGCTCTCAACTCAATTATAATGTATAACCCCTTCAATAGATGAGTAATTTTAAATGAAAATTTATGCTAGACGTGTGAATTATATTTGCGTTTTTATATTTGTGTTTGTGTGTGTTGATGTATGTATGTGTATGTTTTTGTTCTATGTGTGTGTGTTAATGCGTGTAAGTGAATCTGTATGTGTGTGAGTGTGAAACGATAATGTGAACGTGACTAATCAAGAAAAATGTTGCCGCATTTTTTCAATGCGTGTCAAACAAAACAAGTAGGCCTACATTAATTAATATTAAAAGTATAAAAAAAACATGTAGTCGTATACATTTGAAAATTATTTCTCCAAATTTGTTATCAATTTAGTGTAGGGTCAAACGGTCTTTGGGAAACCCCATACACTTTTATAATTGGCACAAGGGCAGCGAAAACACTAAAATTTAGGGGGTTATAAAAATGTTCAAACAAGCACATGAGGGTTAAAATTTCATGACACATATTCAAAGGGTTAATGCCATTTCGAGCATAACATGGTTGTTATGAGGAAGACCGGTCCGCGATTTCGTGTTGTATTTCAAAACATACCCCTCCCCCCTCCCCTTTCCCTCACACCCCCGCGATGAGCACACTGAAGGGGATACAACTCGTTTTACATCGGTGTCGACCTGACGAGGATTATCTCCCCGCTGTAGGTGAGGAGAAATTCGAGATTTGCGTCCCATGTCAGGGCTAATAGTTGGGCAAGTTTGGGAGAGATAAAGGGGAGACAACGCCAAGTCTCCCGTCGACTGGGGGATGGTAATTATCTCAGACCACACAGGGGGGTTTGGGTTGGTGGCTGACGCTGGGCAAACCACTGGATTTGTTGGGGCAGTGGTTCTAAAATTGTTGTACTTATTTGGCACTAGAGTTAAGCTCGGATTTTTAGTTCTACTTTGAGCTATTGACGAAGTAAAGTTACTCTAAATTTAAAAAAATCAACCATTGTTATCCTCTCCGCATCCAGAGTTTCTTTCAGGCACGGCGGGCGAGGGCACTGTCACCCAGTGGCGTAGCGAGGTCGGGTGTCACCCGGTGCGGCACTTAATGGTGTCACCCCCCAGAGGCGTAGCGACCCTTCCCGGGGACAAACTTTCAAATTTTCGATTTGCACCCCCCCTCAAACTTTCGATTTGCACCCCCCCCTCAGATTTTCGATTTGCACCCCCCTCAAGTTTTTCTCTATATATTTTGCTATTTTTTGCCTTGGTGTCACCCCCTAATGGTGTCACCCGGTGCGGGCCGCACCCCCAGCCCCCCCTCGCTACGCCCTGCTTTCACCCTCCCCCTGGTGCACGTCAACCGCCCCCTCCCCACGAAATAAATTGAATTTATATAAAATAAAATATTTGAACCAGTTTCCAGTGGCTGGAGCCGCTCCCCCCCCCCCACCCATTCCCACGATAGCTTCCAATGGCCTCAATCCCTCTCAGTAATTTAAAAAAAAAGCTGGTAGCACAACAACACTGAGAACGCTTAAAATTAAACTTAAAATAGAAAATTCTAGTCACGTCAAGTTGTTATAAAATAATTAGACTGACACCCTATAGACACCATAATGTTTACACTTGATTAAATGTCGTACTCAAGATGTCTGGCAGGACACGACCCTGGAGCTTCAGAAAACGCGTGGAGACAGTCAGTCTCTGGGGAATTTCCGGTAGATAAAACCCCGCTTCCGATTTTGGCTGGGGTGGTACCATGACCTAAAACATAGGGCAAGGTTAGATCGTGTTTTGTATTTAGCATACGAATATCGTGTTTTGGTATTAAGCATGTGTAGATGGTGTTTTGTATTTGAGAATGATTTGATTGTGTTTTGTATATAGAATGTAAAGATTGTGTTTTGTATTTAGAATGTTTAGATTGTGTTTTTATTGATTTTTGTATTTAAAATGTGTAGATTGTGTTTTGTATTTAGAATGTTTAGATTGTGTTTTGTATTTAAAATGTTTTGATTGTGTTTTGTATATAGAATGTGAAGATTGTGTTTTGTATTTATAATGTGAAGATTGTGTTTTGTATTTATAATGTGTAGATTGTGTTTTGTATTTAGAATATGTCGACCGTTTTTCTTGTTATAGAATTTATTCGAGGACTTTCTAATCTTATTTCCACATTAAAATAGAGCAATAAAAGTTTCCCTTTCAAACCTGACGGTCTATGGGGCAAGTGAAGTAGAGTTCACTTGTTTCTGTGACCTCGGCATATGAAGAGATAGTGTGGTCAGCACTATGCCCAGCCACGTTTACTTTCCCTAACGTGAGTTAGGTACCCATCAGAGTTAAGTGGACTCAGGGACGGTCTACTGACTTGAACCCGGATTCGAACTCGAGACTTACAGGCTAGCAGTCCAGCTCTCTACTGCTAGACCTCTCCGTCCCATAAAAAATAGAGCAATAAATTAAGATTAATCTTTTCAAAAATGTAATATGTTAATGTTGACATCTTTTCAAGTACTTAAGAGAATGTGTTTTTGTATCCTAAAATGGTTTTTTTTTTGTCTTAGAATGGGTATTCGTGTTAGAATGTTTAGTCTTCCCGTTTCTAATCTCACAGTCTGCAGTTAAATAACGACGAGTTCATCTGTTTGTCTGTGCGAATGTCTAAAGGATAGTATGAACAACTCTATACCCTTCTAACGTTGCTTTTCCTAACACGAGTAGGAGCGCCCTAGGGACTAGAGCCAGGGTTCTGAACTCAAGACTAATGGGTTAGAAGCCGTGTGATGTAACACACGACCACGCCGTTTTTGTGTATTAAATCCATTAGATGCAATGGCAACAACATGGCAATAGTTTAAGCGTAATTAACTAGATGGGTAGCTAGTACAACTGGCAATTTCAATTTTTTTTTATGTTACTGAAAAATCTGCTATCACACAACGTTTCTACAGCAAATATTGCGGATAGTTTTCTACTTTCATTCTACGTGTGATTCATCTTTGGCTCAGGTTTTCCCATTCAAACCCGCTGCTGAGCGGTGGAGAAAAAAAAATGGCGCTCCACAATATCGGCAACACGATACTATAGATTCCCCGTGAAGACAGGCTCTGTGGGGTCATACACACGTCTGACTAGACCCCTCGCAGACACATCTGTCATGTCTCGGAGATCCGAGACCCCCTAGGGCTCGAGACCCTGGGTCCCAGAAAGTTGTATTCATCACACGGTAATTGTCCATCACATAAAACGCGCGATTGTAGTGTGCGTGTGGTTAAGTTTCTGATTGATTCGCTGAGAGCCTTATCGTACATACATGTGTGTGGGACAGCGTGGTCGAATGGTAGAGCATCCGACTGCTAACCCGAGAGTCTCGAGTTCAAATATGGGTTACACTCCGAAGAACGTCATAGAGTCCACCCAGCTGAGAGAATGAGAGGCGGCTGGGCATAGTGCTGACCACTCTAACCGTCATATGCCGTGGTCACAGAAACAGGTAAACTCTACTTCACTTGCCCCGTAGACCGTCGTGTGCGAAAAGGGTACTTTATTTTACCTTTTTTTCTGAAATAAAAGTTTACATGCACACAAACATACACACATACATATCATCCATCATAATCAAGTGATTTTAAACATGTCGTTCATTACTGACATGACGTTTGTTAACCTGACTTGACCACCATTTTATAACACTTGGTCACACACAAAACATGACGTCACAATCTACTCCCCATGTCCCGCTGTACGTCTGATGCAAATTGTCGCCGGTAAACAAATCTTTCATACGATTCTGTCTGGGGATGTTTTAAACGTTGACATTTTAAACCAATTAAATGGGTCAAAACTTTCAGGGATTAAAATTTTCAGGGATCAAATCTTCTAGGGATCGTACCTAACAGGGATCGTACCTAAAAGAAATCGTGCTTATAGGGATCGTACTTAATAGGGATCAAACATAATAGGGATCCAAACTAATAGGGATCCAACCTAATATAGGGATTCAACCTAAAAGGGATCGTGTCTAATAGAGATCAAACCTACTAGGGATCCAAACTAAAAGGGATCGTACCTAATAGGGATTAAACCTAATAGGTATTTAACCTAATAGTAATCCAACCTGATAGGGATCCAACCTAAAAGGGGTCCAACCTGATCGAAATTAGACAGCATAAGCTTAGGTTATAAACAGGAACTAAATATAACTGTATCTAAGACTAGGATAGCATAGTTTTGTAATTTTTTATACAGCAAATGACACAAGTAACGTAAAGTGAAGACTAAAACAAGGGGTTCGGTATTATTATATTTTTATTTGCATGGGTTTCTAATATACATTATTTTATTTCTTGGATTAAAAATGTTTTTTTATCGAGTATTACATATTTATTATTTTTGTTTTTGGCTGGGTTCGATGGTTGGGTTCGATGGTTGGGTTCGATGGTTGGGTTCGATGGCTCAACTTATTTGGGCTTACAGGCCTTGAAGGCGGATGTACCGTGATCATGACCTAGTTTTGACAGGCCTCGAGTGACCAGTGACTGACCATCTGTGGACGAGCCCACGGTCTTGTCAGTAGCACGAGACCTTTTGCGAGACATTCGTCTCTCTGTCTTCGAACCTTTTCTACAAACGCTAGAAATAATATTGTTTGTGTTTTGACTTGTCACATTATTCTCCTTACACAAATTGACGTGTTTAGGAAAGAATTCATCGGTGTCATCCTGGGCTGCGCCCCTCTGAACCACAGGCAGCTGGGTATGGTTCGCATTTGGGTTGGGATTGTAAACCCTAAAGGCTGAAGTTCGGTTATCATGACCTAGTTGAACTTTTCCCTTAATGGACGAACTCTCCACCTTGCATGCACTTCTGGTACCCGTGCTTGATGTAATGTTGTTTGTTTCCTTCGCTTTAGAATTTGTCCAAGCATTCTCGTTCAACAAACCGTCTTCGGAAACGCCGCTACCTTTTGCCGCAAGACTTGTCGTGGGGTCACTGGAGGACCCAGGCCTCAACAAGACGGGGATAGCTCCCTGTGTCTGGCCTAAGCGCGATGTTTCAGCTCGACGCGCCTGCTCACGAATGGTATTTGGACATTTCCGTATTATTGGTGGCGGTGTTTTGTCGAACGAGCGTTTTGTCTGAGCATTTTCTTGTTGCCAGATCAAGAAGTATCTGTATTGGTCGAAAACATCAAGGAGTGAGAACATCAGCATGAGGACGACAATCTCAGTGTCCGCCTTACCCACATGTTCAAAGCGCATACCACTCGCTATGCACAGTAAACTGACGGCGGCAAGCAACATAAAAATACACAGGATATCTTTAAGCCGCCAGTTTTTCAGTAGTACCTTAAAGTACTGCCACACCGTGGGGTAGACTTTGACCACAGGGAACGTGTAGGAGCACAGTTCGCAGGATGTCCGGCCGTTGAGACCCAGCCACTTCTCTAGGCAGGACACGTGTATGGAGCCCATAGATCCAGAGCAATAACAGGGCGAGACGAGTTTCTCACGACCGCCATCGTCGTGACAAATCCTGCAGCATTTGTCATCTGAATTATATACCTGGGAGGTGCTCTGCGAAACCATCGTTGGTTTCTACAGATTTTGTTTTGTTCTCTGCTACTGCCGAGTGAGGCTGTGGCGATGGTACTGGCTACTGCCGTGTCCGCTGTCACAATACTATTGGCTACTTTGATACCTGGCCAAGAGTAAAACTTACGAGGTTTTATTATTATCTCTACTTCAACGGGTAAAAAGCTGCGACGGATTGGCTTGTTTTCCGACGAACATTTCAGCCGATGATTGAAACTAGGCAGATTGTGCGCATGTTTTAATTGGTTGTGATCTGCCGTCTCTCGATGGTGCTGCTACAAGTGGTGCGTACGAGTCTGGGAAAGGTGTTTGTGGTCTTCAGCTGAAGTCTTGAAACATAAAAACGCCTTATTAAAAGTGGCACTAGTCATTTTTAATTTTGGTAATAATTATAAAGCAATCACGGTTAAGTTTGGCGAGAGTTTTAGGATAAAGAGTTTAGGTTACTTAAGAAATAACCATACGCACAGACAGACACGGACACACACACGCACACACAGTCACACACACACGCACACACACACACACACACACACATATATATATATATATATATATATATACATACATACATATATATATATATATATATATATATACTAGCTGTATCCCGTGCTCCGCCACGGTAAATCATTTTTAAATATACCAACTTTGGAACAGAACAAAACTAAACACAACACAAACGAACGAACGCAAAAAAAAAACGAAAAAACGAACACAACACTCATAACATAAACACAATTTAAATGCAATCATAAAGGCATATTGCTCACAGTCTAGCCCGTAGCGCCAAATCGCGCCCTTTCCGAGTCCCGGCGGACGCGTCTGACACAGTGAATGACTACAAAACAGAGGTGTTGCGACCCTTTCCGGCGCCCGGGGACAAACTTTCGATTTGACCCTCCCTCAAACTTACGATTTGCACCCCCTCCCCTCAAAATTTCAATTTCCACCCCACCCCCTTAAACTTTTGATTTGCATTCCCTTCAGACTTTCGATTTGCACCACTTTTAATTTGAAATTTCCCCCGCTCAAACTTTTGATTTGCACCCCCTAAAACTTTCGATTCGCACCCTACCCCCCTCCCTAAAACTTTCGATTTCCAACCCCCCCCCCCCCCTAGCTACGCCTCTCTTATAAAACCCCAGCTTGTCCGCAAACCGAAAGATAAAATAATAATAAATAATATACAATAAAAAATAGGCAATATTTAAAATATCAGTGTTTACCTACCATATATCACTTTATCAATTCACGCATTTTTTCCCAGTATTTTAATTTTAAAAATTTTCAATTGAGTTTCATAACTAAAACCATTGCGCACCCAATGTCTATAATGGTGCGGAATAGTTGATTAAAAATTAGAAGTAGTGAATAAAATAAATAAAAGATTGCCTTTTATCAATCCATGCTAATTATAATTTTCTAACAATCCGCATCCGCACAATTTGCATTCACATTTTGCTAATTATATTATTGCAACACTAATTCCTTCTAAGAGGTCCGTAGATTTGCATTCACATTTTTTTATTAGCGTGAGTTTAATTTATTTTTAAATTACCTCCCTTGTCAAAAAAAGAGTTAAATTAATTTGATTTTTCTAGCCTACTGTTATTACGTTATTAAAATGTTTCCACCTTTCTAAGGCATAAAAAAGAAAACAATATTTGACATTGATCCTTTTAATATGTTTTAGCAATGTGCGTGTATTTAATATTCTCTTTACGTTATGCAAAATTGTACAAACAGTGGAAATTATAAAATAGCTCTATGCCACTATATAAACAAACCCTACTCTAATACTTATAATAAGACACTGCGGTGCACTGAAAAGCACAGCATGGTGCGTAGCTTACTTTTATAGTCCCAAAATCTATAGCGATGACGGACGGAAGGACACGCTCAGCCCGATTATATTATAGATATATATATATATATATATATATATATATATATACATACATTCATATATATATGCACAAGCCATACTTGCTAACTTTGTTTGATGCAGGAAGGTGATTTAATTCAATTCAAATTATAAGACATAAGTTTTGTCACTTCATGTGAAGGAGAAGTTAAAGGAGGTTTAATGATGTCACCTAAGTAAGATAGAGGTTAGGTGATGCCAATTTATCTAAGAGTGATGTCATTTGATGTCACTTTATGTAAGAGTGATGTCAAGTGATGTCACTTTATGTAAGAGTTATGTCAATTGATGTCACTTTAAGTGAGAGGTCAAGTGATGTCAATTTATCTAAGAGTGATGTCATTTGATGTCACTTTATGTAAGAGTGATGTCAAGTGATGTCACTTTATGTAAGAGTGATGTCAAGTGATGTCAATTTATGTAAGAGCGATGTCAAGTGATGTCACTTTAAGAGAGAGGTCAAGTGATGTCAATTTTTTGAAAGATTTATGTTAATTGATGTCAATTTATGTAAGAGTTATGTCAATTGATGTCACTATATGTAATAGTAATGTCGAGTAATGTCACTTTAAGAGAGAGGTCAAGTGATGTAAATTTACGTAAGAGAGAGAGGTCAAGTGATGTAACGTTACGTAAGAGTGATATTAAGTTAAATAATGTCACTTTATGTAAGTGAGATGTTACGTGATGTCCCTTTATGTAAGACATAGGTAAGGTGATGTCACTTTAAGAGAAGGGTTAAGTGATGTCGGTTTAAGAGAAATGTTAGCTGATGTCATTTTGTGTAAGAGAGAGGTCAAGTGATGTCACTGTATGTAATAGAGATGTTAGGGACGTTACTTTATGTAAGAGTAATGTCAAGTGATGTCACCTTATGTAAGAGTGATGTCAAATGATGTCACTTTATGTAACTGAAACTAAAGAAATCAAACCATCAACATGAAATAAGCTGAGGCGACCACTGTTCTACAAAAACAGGCGAAGAGTGTGTGATCTACCAAACTGCGAAACGATGCATCTAGATTTTAACCTCTTGACGATGGGCTCTGAGTGTGTTGTTTGTGCTTTAGTACGTTTGTACTTATAAGATGGCGTATTACTTCCAGTAAAAAGTTTGTTAATATTAATGTTTACGCTTTCCAATATAGACACCATTACTAGGAAATGACGTCATAAATAAATAAAAACACGGATGCTCTCATTTATTTGTTTACCTAAAGTAAAAAGATTAAACAGAGGCTAACCTTTAACGACTCAATATAAAGAGACATGAGTTTTGGATTTCCCATACGTGTGTCGCTTCAGATTACATTGAGATTCAGCTATTGAGCTGCACTCTTGTCTTTTCATACTTGAGATTGATCACAGATTTGAATTGGGTATTGCAGTTTGGTTATATAACTTGACAAAAGTGCCCATCCAAGTAGTCTATTACATGTAAACATCTACTGTCTTAAAAGTTGAGAGAAAACTACCAATTTAATATAATACGTGTGTATGAAACTTCGTCAACCTAACTGAAACCAGTGTTGTTTTTAGGCAACTCTTTAAGGGAGGGGGGGGGGGGAGAGAAATGTCTCTAAAAATCTAAAATAAAATGTAAAACTTATTATTCGTCTCATTTAAACATCCATACTTTCAAATTCGGTTTTATTATATTTTTGTTTACATGGTTTTCTCACATACGCCATTTTAGTTCTTGGATTAAAATTTTTTTTTTATCCAGTATTTTAATATTTATTATTTATGTTTTAACAAGCAATGATGAAATGCGAATGAGTAACGCGTCAAACAATGTGTACTAAAAACGGCCTCATACACCATTACTAAGTATCAACCATACGTCGGTGGTTGGGTTCAATTGTTGGTTTCGCTGGTTGAGTTTTCTGTTTGGATTATCTCGTCCCCCACCCTCCCGAAAATATCAAGTGCCCCTCCCCCCCCCCTCCCCTGAAGAAAAAAGTCTGTAAGAAACACTGACTGAAACGGTACTCAACTTATCGTGTTTACGAACGCACAGTCAGACAAAACTGAAAAAAAAACTAAGATATGAAAATCTGGAAGGATTTAAAACGTCATTTTCAAAATCTCTCCCTAAATATTAGAAAAGGTATCCAATAGATTATAGATAATATAGTGACCCGCGCTTTTCTTTATAGTTACTTAAATAGTAGGGTAGTATAAAATATTTTAAGCAAATCGTTTATTTTCTACTTTTTAGTGCATCATTAATAAAAAATGGTATTAAAACGGTTTTATTCAATTTTGTTACAATAAGTATTACGGACAGTTCTCTACTTTCATTTTTCGCGTGATTCTATACTATACTATACTAAAGAATCTAATAGAGATGTATTCGCTTGTAGCCTCACCGTGAAGACAGGCTCTGTGGGGTCATACACACGTCTGACTAGACCCCTCGCAGACACATCTGTCATGGCGCGGAGATCCGAGACCCCCTAGGGCTCGAGACCCTGGGTCCCAGAAAGTTGTATTCATCACACGGTAATTGTCCATCACACAAAAGGCGCGATTGTAGTGTGCGTGTGGTTAAGTTTCTGATTGATTCGCTGAGAGCTTTATCGTACACATATGTGTGTGGGACAGCGTGGTCGAAAGGTAGAGCATACGACTGCTAACCCGAGAGTCTCGAGTTCAAATATGGGTTCAACTCCGTAGAACGTCCCAGAGTCCACCCAGCTGTAGTGGGGCACTTACTCGCGTGAGAAAATGAGAGGCGGCTGGGCATAGTGCTGACCCCTCTATCCTTCATATGTCGTGGTCACAGAAACAGGTGAACTCTACTTCACTTTCCCCGCAGACCGTCGTGTATGAAAGGGAGTTTTATTTTACCTTTTTTTTCTGAAATAAAAGTTTACATGCATACAAACATACAGATCATCCACCATAATCAAGTGATTTTAAACATGTCCTTCATTAATGACATCACGTTTGTTAACCTGATTTGACCACCATTTTATAACACTTGGTCACACACAAAACATGACGTCACAATCTACTCCCCATGTCCCGCTTTACGTCTGATTCAAATTGTCGTCTGTAAACAAATCTTTGATACGATTCTGTCTGGGGATCCAACCTAATAGGGATAAAACTTTCAACCTAATATTTATCCAACCCAATAGGGATTTAACCTGCTTGGGATTTAACCTAATAGAGGTCCAACCTAATAGGGATCCAACCTAATAGGGATCCAACCTGATTTAAATTAGACAGCATTAGCTTAGATTATAAATAGGGACTAAATATAACTGTATCTAAGACAAGGGTAGCATAGTTTTGTAATAGAAAGATAAAAACTCTATACAGCAAATGCGACAAGTAATGTAAAGTGAAGACTAAAACAAGGAATGTTTAGACCAGAAGTGTATTCATTTATTCACATCGCATTCAACTTGTCTTCATTTATATAATTATTTGTAAACTAAATTTTCGTTCAAATTACAATTCGTAATTAAAATTGTGGAAACTACAAACCTTGTAAAATGTCTCTAAAAATCTAAAATATAATGTAAAACTTATTATTCGTCTCATTTAAACATCCATACTTTCATATTCGGTATTAATATACTTTTGTTTACATGGTTTTTTCACATACGCTATTTTATTTCTTGGATTAAAAAAATGTTTTTTATCCAGTATTTATATAATTATTTTTTATGTTTTGGCAAGCAATGATGAAATGCGAAAAACAGTCTCATACACATTTTCTAAGTATCAACCATTCGTCGGTGGTTGGGTTCAATGGTTGGGCTCATTGGTCGGGTTCCCTGGTTGGGTTCGATGGTTCAACTCATTTGGGTTTATATACTTTGAAGGCGGATGTCCATTCATCTTGACCTAGTAGTGACAGGCCTTGAGTGACCAGTGACTGACCATCTGTGGACGAGCCCACCTTCTTGTCAGTAGCACGAGACCTGTGGCGGGGCATTCGTCTCTCTGACTTCGAACCTTTTCTAACCATCCTAGAAAGAATGTTGTTAGTATTTTTACTTTCCACATCAGCTATTTTATTCATTTCATTATTATCAATTTTAGGCGAGCGAGCATTCTCCTTACACAAAAAGACGTGTTTAGGAAAGGTAAAGAATTCATTCGTGTCATCCTGGGCTGCGACCCTTTGAACCACAGGCAGCTGGATATGGCTCGCATTTGGGTTGGGTTTGTAAACTCTGAAGGCTGAACATAGGTCATCATGACCTAGTAGTGCCAGGCCTTGAGTGACCAGTGACTGACCATCTGTGGACGAGCCCACTGTCTTGTCAGTAGCACGAGACCTGTGGCGAGACATTCGTCTCTCTGTCTTCGAACCTCTTCGAATGTTGTTTGTGTTTTTACTTTCCACGTCATCTATTTCATTCATTTCATTATTAGCAATTTTATGCGAGCGAGCATTCTCCTTACACAAAAAGACGTGTTTAGGAAAGGTAAAGAATTCATTCGTGTCAACTTGGGCTACGTTCCTTTGAACCACAGGCAGCTGGATATCGGTCGCATTTGGGTTGGGTTTGTAAACCCTGAAGGCTGAACATAGGTCATCATGACCTAGTAAAGATAATCCACATGACCTATGGCGAACTCTACGTCTATGTGTTTTTGAGCTTCTAGTATCCACGCTTGTTGTAATGTTATTTATTCCGTTCTGTTGAGGTATGGTCCAAGCATTCTCGTTCGACAGTAGCCTTTCTTCAGAAAAGCTTCTAAAATCATTAGTTTCATCGCCGTCTGCGACCCTCTGGAACTCGGAACCAGCAGGCAGTTGGGTGTGGGCTACGTTGATGTTGGCATTGCCGTTGCCGTTTGCCGCAAGACTTCCCGTGGGGTCATTGGAGTATGTAGGCGTCAAAAACACGGGCATACCTCCCTGTGTCTGGCACGTGAGGGATGTTTGAGCTTGATGCGCCTGCGCACGTATTATTGGTGGCGGTGTTTTGTCCAAGGCCATTTGTGTCAGAGAGTTTTCTTTTCTCCAGATTAAAATGTCTTTACAACGGTAGACAATGATATCTACAATCAAAAAAAAAAAAAAGAGCAGGCCAAACAGTGAGAATATCAGCATGAGGAAGACAATCTCAGTGTCCATCTTACCCATAAGTTTAAAGCACACAACACTCGCAATGCACAGGAAAATGAAGGTGGCAATAAACATAAAGAGACACAGGATGTCTTTAAGCAGCAACTGGTCCAGTGGTACCTTAAAGTACTGCCACACCGCGGGGTAGACTTTGACCATAGGGAAAGTGTAGGAGCACAGCTCGCAGGATGTCCGGCCGTTGAGGCCCAGCCACTTCTTCAGGCAGGACACATGGACGAAGCCCACAGATCCAGAGCAATAGCAGGGCGAGACGAGTTTCTCACGACCGCCATCGTCGTGACAAATCCTGCAGCATTTGTCATCTGAATTATATACCTGGGAGATGCTCTGCGAACCCATCATTGGTTTCTACAGATTTTGGTTTGTTCGTTCACTGCTACTGCCGAGTGAGGCTGTGGCGATGGTACTGGCTACTGCCGTGTCCAGCTGTCACAATACTATTGGCTACTTTGATACCTGGCCAAGAGTAAAACTTGCGAGGTTGTATTAATATCTATACATCAAAAGCTGCGATGGATTTGCATCTTTTCTGACGAACATTTCAGCCGATGATTGAAACTAGGCAGATTGTGCGCATGTTTTAATTGGTTGTGATCTGCCGTCTCTCGATGGTGCTGCTACAAGTGGTGCGTACGAGTCTGGGAAAGGTGTTTGTGGTCTTCAGCTGAAGTCTTGAAACATAAAAACGCCTTATTAAAAGTGGCACTAGTCATTTTTAATTTTGGTAATAATTATAAAGCAATCACGGTTAAGGTTGGCGAGAGTTTTAGGATAAAGAGTTTAGGTTACTTAAGAAATAATCATACGCACAGACAGACACGGACACACACACGCACACAAACACACACACATACACACACACACATACACACACACACACAAACATATATATATATATATATATATATATATATATATATATATATATATATATATATATATATATATATATATATATCTATACTAAGAATACTGCCTAGCTTCGCTTAGGATTTCAAAAAAAAAAGTAAATTGAATGATTAATTAATAGGTGATGGCTGTTATGTTAAATGCTTAGGGCCTAAATTTATACAGTGGAATAATATAAAGTTACCCAAACATTGATGGAATATTCGCAAACTTATTACACGCAAGGTTATTAGAACTGCAAGGGCTTTCTTAATAGTATCAATCAAATATTATATTAAATTAGTTTTGAAATTAATTTTTACAATTTCAGCATAATTCAAAACTTAATTTATAATAAAATATGTATTTAAACAATGCTATACTTTATGACTTTTTGTTTTTTTTCTTAAAAAGAGTATATAAAATATTTAAAAATTATTACACTAAAAAGTTATCTCCCCTGTTCATAGAGCAAATGACACAATTTCGTATAATGAGAATTTCAATCGCGGTCATTTTCGGCCCTCTTCGAGGGCTTTGAGTCTGACCAACAGCTTTTCCATACGGCCTAGTCATCTATAGAGGTGTATACAAAAATTAGATATACGGAGTAAGTACCCTGAAATCTTTGTTGAAATAACCCTCTGTTTTTCCCATAAAATACAAAGATTATAAAGGGAAATACGACTGGTCAGTTTTGACCCATTTAACGAATTTTCCCGGACATGGCGAGTTTTTTGTGACACCCCAAGGCGTTCTCCTACCACCTCACAAAATTTCAAGGGGGGTCATCGGAGGAAATTTTTTTTCGTAATAGAGCTCATATAAAGAGAACTTCACTCGCGGTCACTTTTTAGCCCTCGTTGAGGGCTTTGAGTGAAACCGACAGTTTTCCCTAAAGGTCAAGCCATTTACCTAAGAGCATGCAAAAACATTAGCCAGATGTAAAGACGGTAAGTGCCCTAAAATCCGTTTTGAAATCACCCTTTGTTTTTCCCCATAAAATACAAAGATTATATAGGGAAATACGACTGGTCAGTTTTGACCCATTTAACGAATTTTCCCGGGTCTGGCGAGTTTTTTGTGACACCCCAAGGCGTTCTCCTACCACTTCACAAAATTTCAAGTGGGGTCGTCGGAGGAAATTTTTTTTCGTAATAGAGCTCATATAAAGAGAATTTCTTTCGCGGTCAATTTTTAGCCCTCGTCGAGGGCTTTGAGTGAAACCGTCAGTTTTCCCTAAAGGTCAAGCCATTTACATAAGAGCATGCAAAAAATTAGCCAGATGTAAAGACGGTAAGTGCCCTAAAATCCGTTTTGAAACCACCCTCTGTTTTTCCCATAAAATACAAAGATTATATAGTGAAATACGACTGGTCAGTTTTAACCCATTTAACGAATTTTCCCGGACATGGCGAGTTTTTTGTGACACCCCAAGGCGTTCTCCTACCACCGCACAAAATTTTAAGGGGGGTCGTCGGAGGAAATTTTTTTTTCGTAATAGAGCTCATATAAAGAGAATTTCACTCGCGGTCAATTTTTAGCCCTCGTCGAGGGCTTTGAGTGAAACCGTCAGTTTTCCCTAAAGGTCAAGCCATTTACATAAGAGCATGCAAAAATATTAGCCAGATGTAAAGACGGTAAGATTTAATTCAATTCAAATTATAAGACATAAGTTTTGTCACTTCATGTGAAGGAGAAGTTAAAAGAGGTTAAATGATGTCACCTAAGTAAGAGAGAGGTTAGGTGATGCCAATTTATCTAAGAGTGATGTCAATTGATGTCACTTTATGTAAGAGTTATGTCAATTGATGTCACTTTATGTAAGAGTGATGTCAAGTGATGTCAATTTATGTAAGAGCGATGTCAAGTGATGTCACTTTAAGAGAGAGGTCAAGTGATGTCAATTTATGTAAGAGTTATGTCAATTGATGTCACTTTATGTAAGAGTGATATCAAGTGATGTCAATTTTTTGTAAGAATTATGTCAATTGATGTCAATTTATGTAAGAGTTATGTTAATTGATGTCACTTTATGTAATAGTGATGTCGAGTGATGTCACTTTAAGAGAGTGGTCAAGTGATGTAACTTTACGTAAGAGAGAAGTCAAGTGATGTAACTTTACGTAAGAGAGAGGTTAAGTTAAATAATGTCACTTTATGTAAGAGAGATGTTAAGTGATATCCCTTTATGTAAGACATAGGTTAGGTGATGTCACTTTATGTAAGACAGATTAGGTGATGTCACTTTAAGATAAGGGTTAAGTGTTGTCGGTTTAAAAGAAAGGTTAGGTTATGTCATTTTGTGTAAGAGAGAGGTCAAATTATGTCACTGTACTTTATGTAAGAATATTGTCAAGAGATGTCACCATATGTAAGAGTGATGTCAAATAATGTCACCTTATGTAAGAGGGATGACAAATGATGTCACTTTATGTAACTGATACTAAAGAAATCAAACCATCAACATGAAATAAGCTGAGGCGACCACTGTTCTACAAAAACAGACGATGAGTGTGTAGTCTACCAAACTGCGAAACGTTGCATCTAGATTTTAACCTCTTGACGATGGACTCTGAGTGTGTTGTTTGTGTTTTTGTACGTTTTTACTTACAAGATGGCGCATAACTTCCAGTACAAAGTTTGTTGATATTAATTTTGTACAATTTTCTCAACCCACCCATACTAGGAAATGACGTCATAAACACATAAAAACACGGATGCTCTCATTTATTTGTTTACCTAAAGTAAAAAGATTAAACAGAGGCTAACCTTTAACGACTTAATATAAAGAGACATGAGTTTTGGATTTCCCATACGTGTGTGTCGCTTCAGATTACATTGAGGCTCAGCTATTGAGCTTCACTCTTGTCTTTTCATACTTGAGATTGATTACAGATGTGAATTGGGTATTGCAGTTTGGTTATATAACTTGACAAAAGTGCCTATCCAAGTAGTCTATTACATGTAAACATCTACTGTCTTAAAAGTTGAGAGAAAACTACCAATTTAATATAATACGTGTGTATGAAACCTCGTCAACCTAACTGAAACCAGTGTTGTTTTTAGGCAACTCTTCACGGGAGGAGAGTGGGGGGGGGGGGGGGGGGGGGGAGGGAAATGTCTCTAAAAATCTAAAATAAAATGTAAAACTTATTATTCGTATCATTTAAACATCCATACTTTCAAATTCGTTATTACTATATTTTTGTTTACATGGTTTTCTCACATACGCTATTTTATTTCTTGGATTTAAAAATGTTTTTATCCATTATTTATATATGTATTATTTATGTTTTGGCAAGCAATGATGAAATTCGAATGAGTAACGCTTCAAACAATGTGTACTAAAAACCGTCTCATACACCTTTATTAAGTATCAACCATTTGTCGGTGGTTGGGTTAGCTGGTTGGGTTCAATGATTGGTAACGCTGGTTGAGTTATCTGGTTGGATTATCTCGTCACCCACCCTCCCGAAAATATCAAGTGCCCCTCCCCCTCCCCTGAAGAAAAAGTCTGGAAGAAACACTGACTGAAACGGTACTCAACTTATCGTGTTTAGTACGCACAGTCATACAAAATTGCAAAAAACTAAGATATGAACGATCTGGAAGGATTTAAAACGTCAACATTTTCAAAATCTCTCCCTAAATATTAGAAAAGGTATCCAATAGATAATATAGTGACCCGCGCTTTTCTTTATAGTTACTTAAATAGTAGGGTAGTATAATATATTTTAAGCAAATCGTTTATTTTCTACTTTTTAGTGCATCATTAATAAAAAATGTTATTAAAACGGTTTAATTCAATTTTGTTACAATAAGTATTACGGGCAGTTCTCTACTTTCTTTTTTCGCGTGATTCTATACTATACTATACTAAAGAATCTAATAGAGATGTATTCGCTTGTAGCCTCACCGTGAAGACAGGCTCTGTGGGGTCATACACACGTCTGACTAGACCCCTCACAGACACATCTGTCATGGCGCGGAGATCCGAGACCCCCTAGGGCTCGGGACCCTGGGTCCCAGAAAGTTGTATTCATCACACGGTAATTGTCCATCACACAAAAGGCGCGATTGTAGTGTGCTAACCCGAGAGTCTCGAGTTCAAATATGGTTTCCACTCCGTAGAACGTCCCAGAATCCACCCAACTGTAGTGGGGCATTAACACACGTGAGAAAATGAGAGGCGGCTGACCCCTCTATCCTTCATATGTCGTGGTCACAGAAACAGGTGAACTCTACTTCACTTTCCCCGTAGACCGTCGTGTGTGAAAGGGAGTTTTATTTTACCGTTTTTTTTTTCTGAAATAAAAGTTTACAAGCACACACACATACAGATCATCCATCATAATCAAGTGATTTTAAACATGTCGTTCATTAATGACATCACGTTTGTTAACCTGACTTGACCACCATTTTATAACACTTGGTCACACACAAAACATGACGTCACAATCTACTCCCCATGTCCCGCTTTACGTCTGATTCAAATTGTCGTGTGTAATACGATTCTGTCTGGGGATCCAACCTAATAGGGATAAAACTTTCAACCTAATGTTTATCGAACCCAATAGGGATTTAACCTGCTTGGGATTTAACCTAATAGAGGTCCAACCTAATAGGGATCCAACCTAATAGGGGTCCAACCTGATTTAAATTAGACAGCATTAGCTTAGTTTATAAATAGGGACTAAATATAACTGTATCTAAGACAAGGGTAGCATAGTTTTGTAATAGAAAGATAAAAACTCTATACAGCAAATGCGACAAGTAACGTAAAGTGAAGACTAAAACAAGGAATGTTTAGACCAGAAGTGTATTCATTTATTTACATCGCATTCAACTTGTCTTCATTTATATAATTATTTGTAAACTAAATTTTCGTTCAAATTTCGGTGAATTACAATTCGTAATTAAAATTGTGGAAACTACAAACCTTGTAAAATGTCTCTAAAAATAAAATGTAAAACTCATTATTCGTCTCATTTAAACATCCATACTTTCATATTCGGTATTAATATATTTTTGTTTACATGGTTTTCTCACATACGCCATTTTAGTTCTTGGATTAAAAAATGTTTTTTATCCAGTATTTATATAATTATTTTTTATGTTTTGGCAAGCAATGATGAAATGCGAATCAGTAACTAAAAAAAAACAGTCTCATACACCTTTACTAAGTATCAACCCTCGTCGGTGGTTGGTTTCAATGGTTGGGTTCAATGGTTGGGTTCAATGGTTGGGTTCATTAGTCGGGTTCCCTGGTTGGGTTCGATTGTTCAACTCATTTGGGTTTATAGAACTTGAAGGCGGATGTGCGGTCATCATGACCTAGTATTAAAAAGGCTCTAGTGACCAGTGACTGACCATCTGTGGACGAGCCCACCTTCTTGTCACGAGACCTGTGACGGGACATTTGTCTTTCTGTCTTCGAAACTTTTCGAACGTTGTTTGTGTTTTTACTTATTTTATGGGAGCAAGCATTCTCCTTACACAAAAAGAAGGGTTTAGGAAAGGTAAAGAATTCAGCCGTGTCATCCTGGGCTGCGACCCTTTGAACCACAGGCAGCTGTATATCGGTCGCATTTGGGTTGGGTTTGTAAACCCTGAAGGCTGAACATAGGTCATCATGACCTAGTATTGACAGACTTCGAGTGACCAATGATTGGCTGGTTGGGTTCAATGGTCGGGTTCGCTGGTTGGGTTCGATGGTTGGGTTAGTAGGTTGGGTTCGATGGTTCAATTCATTTGGGCTTATAGACCTTGTAGGCGATGCACGGTCATCATGACCTAGTAGTGACAGGCTCCGAGTGACCAGTGGATGACCATCTGTGGACGAGCCCACCGTCTTGTCAGTAGCACGAGACCTGTGGCGAGACATTCGTCTCTCTGTCTTCGAACCTTTTCTAACCACCCTGGAAAGAATGTTGTTAGTATTTTTACTTTTCACATCAGTTATTTCATACATTTCATTGATAGAAATTTTATGCGAACGAGCAATCTTACACAAATAGACGAGTTTATGAAAGGTAAAGAATTCATCTGTGTCATCCTGGGCTGCGAACCTCTGAACCACAGGCAGCTGGATATCGGTCGCATTTGGGTTGGGTTTGTAAACCCTGAATGCTGAACATAGGTCATCATGACATAGTAAAGATAATCCACATGACCTATGGCGAGCTCTACGTCTATGTGTTTTTGAGCTTCTAGAACCCACGGTTGTTGTAATGTTATTTATTCCGTTCTGTTGAGGAATGGTCCAAACATTCTCGTTCGACAGTAGCCTTTCTTCAGGACAGCTAAAATACTGATCAGTTTCATCGCCGTCTGAGACCCTCTGGAACTCGGAACCAGCAGGCAGTTGGGTGTGGGTAACGTTGATGTTGACATTGCCGCTACCGTTTGCCGTAAGACTTGTCGTGGGGTCCCTGGAGTGCCCAGGCCTCAATAAGACGGGGATACCTTCCTGAGTCTGGACGGCGCGCGATGTTTCGGCACGATGCGCCTGCTCGTGGATTTTATCTTGAACATTCCGTATTATTGGTGGAGGTGTTTTGTCGAACACCATCCGATTTTGACCTTTTTTGTTACGCCATATCAAGAAATGTCTGCGTCGGTAGAACACGATTCGGACAATCAAACAGATGTAGCCGACGTCAAGGAGTGATACCAGCAGCATGATGATGACACTCGTAGTGTCTGCCTTACCCACATGTTCAAAGCACATACCATTCGCTATGCACAGTAAAGTTATGCTAGCAAGCAACATATAACGACACAGGATGTCTTTAAGCAGCCAGGTTTTCATTAGTATCTTAAAGTACTGCCACCCCGTGGGGTAGACTTTGACCATAGGGAACTTGTAGGAGCACAGCTCGCAGAATTTCCGGCCTTTGAGACGCAACCATTTCTTCAGGCAGGATACATGTACGAATCCCATGGATCCAGAGCAATAGCAGGGCGAGACGAGTTTCTCACGACCGCCATCGTCGTGACAAATCCTGCAGCATTTGTCATCTGAATGATACACCTGGGAGGTGCCCTGCGAACCCATCGTTGGTTTCTACAGATTTTGGGTTGTTCACATTTACTGCCGGGTAAAAAGCTGCGATGGATTGGATTGTTTTCTGACGAGTATTTCAGCCGATGATTGAAACCAGTCAGATTGTGAGCAGCGTGTCGAAGATTGGATTTGTTGTGATCAGCCGTCTCTCGATGGTGCTGCTATAAGTGGTGCGTACGTGTCTGGGAAAGGTGTTGGTGGTCTTCAGCTTAAGTCGTGAAACATAAAAACGCCTTATTAAAAGTGGCACTAGTCATTTTTATTTTGTTAATAATTATAAAGCAATCACGGTTAAGGTTCACGTTGTGATTAGGTTAGGTGATTTCAATTTATGTAAGAATGATGTCAAGTGATGTCACTTTAAGAGAGCGTTTAAGTGATTTCTTGTAAGAGAGAGGTCGAGTGATGTCACTTTATGTTACAGAGATGTTAAGAGATGTCACTATGGAAGAGAGAGGTTAAGTGATGTCATATTGTGTAAGAGAGATGTTGAGTGATGTCATTTTAAGAGAAAGGTTAGATGATGTCACTTTATGTAAGACATAGGTTAGGTGATGTCACTTTAAGAGAAGGATTAGGTGATGTCACTTTAAGAGAGAGGTTAGGTGATGTCACTTTATGTAAGACATAGGTTAGGTGATGTCACTTTAAGAAAAGGATTAGGTGATGTCACTTTATGTAAGACATAGGTTAGGTGATGTCACTTTATGTAAGACATAGGTTAGGTGATGTCACTTTAAGAGAAAGGTTAGATGATGTCACTTTATGTAAGACATAGGTTAGGTGATGTCACTTTTAGAGAAAAGTTAGATGATGTCACTTTATGCAAGAGTACAGTAAGAATGACGTAACGTGATGTCACACGATGTATGTGTAAGTGAAATCTGTACTATTTGGAAGTATTTATTGTAAGCTTAACGTGAAGTAAAGGCAATAGATGTAAGAGAGAGTAAAGAAATGACTTTTTTGTACATTTTACTGAGTTTAAATCCCTGATAACTGAAACTAAAGAAAACAAACCATCGAAATAAAATAAGCTGAGGCGACCACTCTTCTACAAAAACAGGCGATGAGAATGTAATCTACCAAACTGCTAACCTTTGTATCCAGATTTTAATCTGTTGTCGATGGTCTCTGAGTGTGTGTTTATCTTTTAGTACCTTTTCAATTACAAAGTTTGTTGATATTAATGTTTCCGCTTTACTCTATACAAGGCGATGTCAATACATTAACCATAGTAGGAAATGACGTCATAAATAAATAAAAACAAGGATGCTCTCATTTATTTGTTTACCTAAAGTGTAAAGATTAAACCAAATTTTTAAATTTACCAAAAGCTAACCTTTAACTACTCAAAGTAACCTAAAGAGACAGGAGTTTTTGATTTCCCATAAACTTGAGTCGCTTCAGATTACATTGAGGCTCAGCTATTGAGCTGCATACTTGAGATTGATCACAGATATCAATTGGGTGTTTCAGCTTGGTTAAATAACTTGACAAAAGTGCCTATCCAAGCAGTCTATTACTTGTAACATATATTGTGTTTTTTTCAATGCATCTCTTCGGGGGGGGGGGGGGGAGGGGGAGTGTGGGGGGGGGGGGGGCATTACAGTAGCGTAGCGAGGGGGGGGGCATATGTCCCCGGGCGCCGACATTAAGGGGCGCCAAAATGGGTTTGGAAAATAAATTGAAAGGTTGAGGGGGGTGCAAATTGAAAGTTTTAGGGGAGGCGGGGGGGGGGGGGGGGGGGGGGGAGAATGCAAATGAAAATCTTGAGGGGGGGGGGGGTGCAAATCGAAAGTTTTAAGGGGAAGAGTGCAAATCGAAATCTTGAGGGGGGGGGGGAGGTGCAAATCGAAAAGTCCCCGGGTGCCGGGAAGGGTCGCTACACCTCTGGGGCATTAGCACCAAGTTTACCCTCCCCAAACGAAATGGAAATATGTATAGAATATATATATATATACCTTTATCAGTGTCGTCCCTCCCCCTTACGGAAAATTTGGTTCACCCCCCCCCCCTCCCCGAAAATATCAAGTGCCCCCCCCCCCCCCCCCCGGAGATAAAATAAAAGTCTGGAAGAAAAACGTCAAAATGTGTCAAAATCTCAATTTTGATTTTTTTTTTTAACGATCACAATACATTATTTACATCGAGTATACAATAAAGTAGGGAGGTGTAAAACGGCGATAACTGTAAATATTTAATAATCATTCAGCACGATTACAATACTTTCTTCATATTTTTCATACGATAAACTATCACACAACTTTCAGGCTCAATCCAGGGGCAGATAACTCCCATCGTGTTCCACTAACGGAGCCAGACAACCATGCAAGAAAGATGGAGGGCTCCAGTGACGTTAATTTCCCACTTCCGGTTCTGTCGTGTGGGGAATCGTTCCGCTTTCACGACTTGAACCGCGCATGACGGAAGTGCCGGCGAGATGCCGTGAATGGGCATTGTCAGCCATTGTTAACAATGGGCATTGTCAGCCATTGTTAACAATTGGCATTGATTAGCCGTCCTCATGCATGGTAAAACACAAAGAGCGGAGGGTAAAATAAAAACGTCGACAGACCGTGATGATGTGATGGCTTACAGTAAAACGATTCTGAATCAAGAATTCTAAATTAACCTACATGCATCATACATCTTTGTGTACCATTTCAAATTGGCGAAATGGTGAAGTTTTCTCACCAACTTCACAACGCTTAGACATCAACTGATTAACACAGAGTTTGTAAAGTCCGAAAATGATGACGGTAAGTATTAATCGAATAAAAAAGCTATACACACACATGCGCGCAAGTACGCACACACACATACATATAGGTATAATATAATGTATAATATTATATATATATATATATATATATATATATATATATATATATATATATATATACATATATATAGTGAAAATGTAGGTTGATGCTACCACTTGAATTTGATTTTGCAATACCCGACAAGTTTCAGAGCACATGCCTCACATTAAATCTGACCAAAAACTGACTTAAACTTAAAACTGACTTTAACCAACCGAAGCCAAGTATAAACTTTACTTTCCAAGAAACTGTAAAATTTGGTATTCATATGGCTAAACCAGGATACAATAAAATGATAGAAACATTTTTTCATGGGCAGTGGCGTAGCCAGGATCGTCTCAAGGGGGGGTTCCAATTTTTACCCAGGGACAAACTTTCGATTTGCTCAAACTTTCGATTTTCACCCCCCCCCCCCTCAAACTTTCGATTTGCACCCCCCCCCCCCCTCAAACTTTTGATTTGCACACCCCCCTCATACTTTTTCTATATACCGAGAGGTCTATGGGGGGGGGTTATGACCCCCCCCTAACCCCCCCTGCCTACGCCACTATTCATGGGTTAGAAACGGATTGTTTTTTTTTTCATATTAAAGAACAGTAAAATTAAATTAAACTTTATAAATTCTCTCTTTTGTTTTTTAAACAAAATGTTCCATTTCAGACCAGACTGATGAAGTACAGTCAAGATTCTATACATTCAGCACATCCAGCAGATAGGTGGTTTTTGTTATACACAGACATAACATTGTATGCCACCAGCCACCAAATACAGTTCATCGGAAGAAAAAAAAATCTCACAACTTCCATATTTTGATTATTTTATTTGCAGAAGAGACAAAATATTAATTCAACTCGCTGTTTGGTGCCACACGTTTGAACAATTAGGTTTGCCGACACCTGAATTTGATATATCGTGTAATCGATTACTTGCCGACACTTGCATTGCCCGCCACTAGGAGGAAAAATCTGGAAATAAGAAGAAAAAGTATAAATTCATAATGTCTGAACTATGCGTAACCTATCACACAGCCAAAGCCCACACACTCACTCATCCCACACATTCCCTCATCCCACACACTCCCTCATCCCAGACACTATTTTCCCACACACTCCCTCATCCCAGATACTCCCTCATCCCACACACTCCCTCATCCCACACACTCTCTCATCCCACACACTCTCTCATCCCACACACTCCCTCATCCCAGACACCTCTCATCCCACACATTCCCTCATCCCACACACTCCCTCATCCCAGACACTATTTTCCCACACACTCCCTCATCCCAGATACTCCCTCATCCCACACACTCCCTCATCCCACACACTCCCTCATCCCACACACTCTCTCATCCCACACACTCTCTCATCCCACACACTCCCTCACCCCAGACACCTATCATCCCACACATTCCCTCATCCCACACACTCCCTCATCCCAGACACTATTTTCCCACACACTCCCTCATCCCAGATACTCCCTCATCCCACACACTCCCTCATCCCACACACTCTCTCATCCCACACACTCCCTCATCCCAGACACTCTCTCATCCCAGACACTCCCTCATCCCACACACTCTCTCATACCACACACTCCCTCATCTCAGACAATCTCTCATCCCACACACTACCTCATCCCACACACTACCTCATCCCACACACTACCTCATCCCACACACTCCCTCATCCCAGACACCCCCTAATCCCACACACTCCCTTATCCCACACACTCTCTCATCCCAGACACACTCTGATCCTACACACCCCATCATCCCACACACTCCCTCATCCCACACACTCTCTCATCCCACACACTCTCTCATCCCACACACTCCCTCATCCCACACACTCCCTCATCCCACACACTCATCCCAGACACTCCCTCATCCCACACACTCCCTCATCCCAGACACCTCTCATCCCAGACAATCTCTCATCCCACACCCTCTCTCATCCCAGACACTCCCTCATCCCACACACTCCCTCGTCCCACACACTCTCTCATCCTACACACTCCCTCATCCCACACACTCTCTCATCCCACACACTCCCTCATCCCACACACTCTCTCATCCCACACACTCCCTCATCCCACACACTCTCTCATCCTACACACTCCCTCATCCCACACACTCTCTCATCCTACACACTCTCTCATCCCACACACTCCCTCGTCCCACACACTCCCTCATCCCACACACTCATCCCAGACACTCCCTCATCCCACACACTCCCTCATCCCAGACACCTCTCATCCCAGACAATCTCTCATCCCACACACTCTCTCATCCCAGACACTCCCTCATCCCACACACTACCTCATCCCACACACTACCTCATCCCACACACTCCCTCATCCCAGACACCCCCTCATCCCACACACTCCCTTATCCCACACACTCTCTCATCCCAGACACACTCTGATCCTACACACCCCATCATCCCACACACTCCCTCATCCCACACACTCCCTCATCCCAGACACTCCCTCATCCCACACACTCCCTCATCCCACACACTCCCTCATCCCAGACAATCTCTCATCCCACACACTCTCTCATCCCAGATACTCCCTCATCCCACACACTCTCTCATCCTACACACTCCCTCATCCCACACACTCTCTCATCCCACACACTCCCTCATCCCACACACTCTCTCATCCTACACACTCCCTCATCCCACACACTCTCTCATCCTACACACTCCCTCATCCCACACACTCTCTCATCCTACACACTCCCTCATCCCACACACTTTCTCATCCCACACACTCCCTCATCCCACACACTCTCTCATCCCACACACTCTCTCATCCCAAACACTCTCTCATCCTACACACTCCCTCATCCCACACACTCTCTCATCCCACACACTCCCTCATCCCACACACTCTCTCATCCCACACACTCTCTCATCCCACACACTCTCTCATCCTACACACTCCCTCATCCCACACACTCTCTCATCCTACACACTCCCTCATCCCACACACTCTCTCATCCCACACACTCTCTCATCCCACACACTCCCTCGTCCCACACACTCCCTCATCCCGAAAGGTTTCGAGGCATTAAGACGTTCTTGAGTCAAACCTTTTCTAAATGGTACCTGACTCCAGTTGTGGAAAAGTAAATGTGGCTTGGTATAGCACTTATAGTGGACAGAGTGGTCTAGGGGTAGAGAGCTGGAGTGCTAACCCGGAAGTCGACTGCTAACCCGTAAGTCTCGAGTTCAAATCCGGGTTCAAGTCAGTAGACACTCCCTGAGTCCACCCAACTCTGATGTGTACTAAACTCACGTTAGGGAAAGTAAAGGCGGCTGGGCATAGTTCTGACCAAACTATTTCTTCATATGCCGAGGTCACAGAAACAAGTGAACTCTACTTCACTTGCCCATAGACCGTCAGGTTTGAAAGGGAAACTTTACTTTACTTTTACTTTTATAGCACTTATAACACTACCCTTCATCTGCTAAAGTCATAACAACAAGTAAACTACTTCATCTGCACTATCTGAGGGCTTTCAAGTAAGGGCACTATGCTTTCCCAACACCTAACCTAATGCCCAAAGATTGTCGTGTTTTAAAACATTTACGACTCAAATCTTATTCAAATGCACTATAGACCGTTAATTAAAAATGGTTCATTTATTTTAGTCCTCGAACGTACATCATGGTCTCAATGGTATTATCGCCAACTTTATACGAAACAAAATAACCTTTTATAATTAATGGGACTTTTATAAAAAAGAGGACGCCACTCGAAAAATTTGGGAACCTTTGATTTAATTCAATTAATTTTACTTCAAGATAAACGTGCCAGGTAATCAACGGAAGTGGGTGGTGTCGAATCTAACCTAGTACTCACCTTTCAAATTCGGCAGGACTGACCAAGTTGTTGCCATCAGTATCGGCGGTGACAAAATGTCTGTCGTAATCGATACCGTCCAGATGATGGTCGCTGTTGACGTCGAGTTCGTCAAACAGGCTGTGGAGGAGGTGGTTGAGCTCGGGGCTGTGGCCGTAGATGTCGGTGACGTAGACGCTGTACTCGTGTCTGGACACTTTACCGTCATGGTTGGTGTCAAAAGCCTGCGTACAGTGTACTATAAGCACCATAGCTACCTTATAGGGCTTGTAAGTCACGGTCTTTCTCACTTAAAACCTCGTTAGCCAGGGAGATATATACTTTCTTTAACTAAATTAATTGTTAACATGGTTCCCATTGATAAAAAGCATCCGACAAACTTAAATATTACGTGTCAACTTGTTATGCCGACCGACCGACCGACCGACCGACCGACCGACCGACCGACCGACCGACTGACCGAAAATATATATTTTCCACATCTGAATTAGTAGTATCACGTCCTAGCAGCTATCTCTTTACTTCATTTTTAATTTTATATTTGAAAAAGAAATGATTTCGTATCGAAGATTCAAAATGGTCGATGGTGCTATATTTTTGTCTTCATCATAAGCTAATAATCTAATGTATAGGCCGTTTCAGTTTTGTACATTTTAGGGTGACCTTATATTACGCCACTTTTCATCTACATTTTGATGCCATGCTATTCGTTAATGTTAGTTTCTTTTTATATTTAGGGTAAAGTGCCAACACCTCATATACTTGATAGCTTCTTTGGTTAAGTTCTCTATATTTTAGAATGAATGTAGTTTCTCTCTTATAATTGCCAAGTGGAGCTTAAGTTACCTATGAACACAAGGGGACAAAACTATTCATTGGAAAATGTGTGGTGATGATTGGTCTCTGGATACCCATCTTGTGATTGTAAAGGCTATGAACTTAAGGGGTAGGCTCCAGAGAAAAACTACTTCTTAATTGAAACTTTTTATTGATTTATTTGTGGATATCTAAGTTAGGGTACTTAAAGGAAAATATTTGAAAAGAGCAGGGACTCTTTTGAAAATATGTTTGTAATGGCGACGTCGGCCATCTTGAAAAAAAAACAGCATTTCTTGGAGTTCTAAAATTTCATAAACTAACATATATATCGGCTATATAATCATTGATTCCTCTTCTACTAACATTAATAGAGTCAGTTAACTAGTTTTTGTAAAAGAAAACACTCTAGAAATATTTTTTTTGAATTTTTGAAATTTGGTATGGTGAAATTTCCTTGAAATTGATGCTAAATTTAATGGTTTTTCATCATTAAAAAATCTTAATTAAAATTAAAAAAAAATATTTCTAGCGATTTTTTTGTTACAAAAGCTAGCCAGCTGACTCTATTAGTGTTAGTACAAGAAAGATCAATGATTATTTGGGCGGTTTATATGTTACTTTATGAAATTTTAGAACTCCACAAAAGGTAGTTTTTTTCCAAGATGGCTGCCTTTGCCATGGCCTCCGTTGCAACTATATTTTGAGAAGAGTCCCTGATACATGCAAATATTTTCCTTTAAGTACCCTAACTTGTACATACACAAATAAATGAAAAAGGCTTAGTTATTAAAAAGTGTTTTTTCCTGTTTTTTTTTCCGCAGCCTACCCCGATAAAGGGATGAAAACCACTTACAGTGAAATATGCGGTCAGCTCAGGTCTCTGGATGTTGCCGTCGTTGTTGGAGTCGATCTTGTTGAAAATGTCGGCAGCGGCGCCACTAAGATCTTGACCACAGGCCAGGACTGGGAGGCAGACCAAGATGACGTACCAGTAGGACATGGTCAGGTTTGAGGGAACTGAAACAGAAATAGAACACAGCAGTGTACACTGTAGGCAATGTCGTGATAATGCTTGTTATAAGCGTAGAAAAAAACTCTGTAGTTTACATTGCGTTCATATTTTTCCCGAACCATGTCGGGTATTTATTAAAACTGTGTGTACTCAAAGATGTCTAATGGACTGTAAGACCACCGAATTCAAAATTTTCAGGTTAGCAATCGTGTTATGTACCACATGACCAAGCTGCCCCTAAATATTTTAGATCCTGTCTTCAGCATTATGGTAGACCTATACACAAGCACACGTATGTTTAAAATACACTTTAACTAGCAAATATACAATTTAGGTTTTAGAAAATAACAATTTATTTTTAAAAATTAGTAAACAAAATTTAAAATTACTAGTTAGAAATATACAAAGTTCGAAAACTTCATAAAAGCTACACACCAGAAACAATATTGATCAAATAATAAAAACAAAATACAAAGCGTCAGTAGCGTCAGTATTTATTAGTAAAAAAGAGACACCTAAGTACACAAAAATCCCAATTTAGTGCGTACACGTCACAAGGTCGTGACTTTGGTCTCGTATGATAAGGAACTATCACACGAGTTTTACATTTGCTTTTATTTTCTTGATGTTAGATGGCATCAACTTTTCCGTCATTAACATTTTTTTTGTTTTTATGTTGCTAGATAGCATTGACGTTTTGTCATTTTATTTTTTTAACAATCTAAACATGTTACTTTTAAAATTCCGTGTGCACGCTTATCAAAAACACGGAAATGTACAGATTTAAAAATATGTAATTAAAACGTCTTTGTATGCAAGTGGTCGAGTGTTTTCAACAGTGCTGTGACTTGTGCAAAAACAGTTTTTTAATGTCCCGTTTATTGTAAACAATGTACACTCCCACTAAGAAGGTGGATGTAAGTAACTTGGTGATAATATCAAACCTGAATTTTCTACGATGCCAGACAGTAATAGTCCAATCTTTAGGTTCATAAGTCGAAGGGATATGTGTGTGTGTGTGGGGGGGGGGGGTGGGGTGGGGTGGTGGGAGAGTGGCTATATACAGATGAAAGATAATAATCGTTGACAGATAGCCCAAAGGTCTCGAGATCGAATCTCGGTTCGGATCCGTAACTGCAGGACATCTTTGAGTCCACTCAGCTCTGATGGGTACCTGACTCACTGAGTCCACCCAGCTCTGATGGGTACCTGACTCACTGAGTCCACTCAGCTCTGATGGGTACCTGACTCACTGAGTCCACCCAGCTATGATGGGTACCTGACTCACATTAGGGAAACAAAGGCTTCTTGGTATATTGCTGACCATACTATCCCTTCATAGCTCGATGTCATTGAAACCGATTAACTCCACTTTATCTTCCCCATGCGTCTTGGAAACGAACGGAAAGGATGATGAAGACCCTTATCTTTACAAAACGATCAACCTTTTTTTTTGGAAAAGTCACGAAATTTTAAATATTTCAAACAGTAACATTTAGATATAACGCGGTAAGGAGACTTAACTGTGTTTTACCATAGTGCGCGATAATGTCTAAACTCGCCCTTGTATAATCCCTAGCCCATTTTACTTGTAGTTGTATAAATGAGTTGGACTGTTTGGTTTTTATTGTCGCACGTGATGGTCAACATCATATGTTATGTGCATCTGCGGTCAATTAGTTTGGTCAACATCCCATGTTTTGTGTGTCTGTAGTCAATTAGTTTGGTCAACATTACATATTTTATGTCTTTGGTCAATTAGTTCGGTCAACATCCCATGTTTTGTGTGTCAGTGGTCAATTCGATCAACATCAAATGTTTTGTGTGTCTTTGGTCAATTAGTTTAATCCATTACAAGAGTTAACACAATAGCTGCACATAGTTTCCAATGCGAAACTTTCCGAATAACAGTGGGAACAATTACATTTCAATACCATTTTGCTCCTTCATAGTTATAAAAACAAGTTTACTATCAGTGCGGCTTATACTTAATTTGGTTTAAATTCAATTAAACTTTCTTCTACTACAGCAGTACACAATAAACGAAACAGTCATTTTAAGTCGTGTGTTTCTTTATTAACACAAGATATCCCAGGTATCAAAAGGTAACTGTACACATGTATCAGCCTGACGTGGTCTTTACTTGCCCACACCTGCGTTGGACGCTAAAAGGAGGAAAAACCTGAGAAAAAGAGAATCACAAGTATCATTTCAAGTTTTGAGTCAAGGAATGTTTGAAGGCTAGTGGTATCGACAACACTTCATTATTGGAGTGTACGTCAAACTTTAACCCCCTCCCATCCCCCACTACAAATACAGGTAGTTTTTTTTTTTAATAATGCATTTAAAAATGTTTGTTTTCTAAATAAAACAGTATAAACAACAAAATTACTGTAATCTAGATAGTGGTTGGTGGAAATATGCACATTGATACAATGATAGATATATTACGAATCACAAAAAAACCCTGATAAAAATCTAAATTTTTTTAATCCATTTTTTTGCGTGCTTCACGTTCTGTACTCATCGTCCTCTTTCTTTCTAAGTACTCACCATCCATACTCACTCTGTTCTACGGAAATTCCACTTTTCTCTACTCAACTTCGTTATACCATCCTCCAACCCCACCGCTACATACACACACACACACACACGCACACACACCACACCTCCCACCTCTACCGCCAACTGACCCCTGTACTCACCTTTCAAATTCGGCAGGACTGACCAAGTTGTTGCCATCAGTATCGGCGGCGACAAAGTTTCTGTCGTAGTCGATACCGTCCAGATGATGGTCGCTGTTGACGTCGAGTTCGTCAAACAGGCTGTGGAGGATGTGGTTGAGCTCGGGGCTGTGGCCGTAGATGTCGGTGACGTAGACGCTGTACTCGTGTCTGGACACTTGACCGTCATGGTTGGTGTCAAAAGCCTGCGAGGATTTTAGTTTTTAAATATTTAAATTTTCTGCTCAATAATTCGGTAAATTTATATTTCAGTGTTAATTTATGAGAAGCTTGTATGTTTGTACGTGACGGTATCGAACTCATGAACCCAACCGTTGCATTAACCCGAGGAAAGACCTTAACCCAAATCATGACACTATCCCTGTCCATTACCGTACTTGCGATCCTAATGCTAACCCTGGAAATAAAATATAGACAAAGCATAAAAACTTCTACCTGAAATATAACCGAAAGACGAGCTAATTTAAGCGCATCGTTTCTCGTTAAACTCAACTAAAAACTAGCGATCTATCGCAAGCTAATTCTTGCATGCGCCGTCATTTATTGCACCACCGAAAGGAATATGCTTTAAAATATTTATCTTTGCAATGGTAGACTCGGGTATTGTCTGGTAAAATATCCTGAATACAATTTCTCAATCTTAGGAGGAAAATCTGGGACATCAATCATATGTGTTTTTAATCAAAACGAATTTACAATGTATTAACACTAAAAGATTGTGGCGGAGAGGTAGTGGGGGGGGGGGAGGATCAGTTTTAAAAAAAAAGTAATACATTATATATACCAAGGCATTAAATCACTGAACAAAAAACCCAACGTAGTTATATTAAAAGTAACAAAACAATAAAGTTAAACTCGTATGGCAGAAGTAAGAAACTAGATTGGACTCTATGACTGTAAAAAAACAACAACAGAAGACTTAGACTGTTGTGACTCAAAGTAAAAACCCAACAAGCATGTATCTGATGGTAAAACAACTTACAGTAAAGTATGCGGCCATCTCAGATCTCTGCACGTTACCGTCCTTGTTCGAGTCCATGTTGGAGAAGATGTTGGCGATGGCTGCGCTCATGTCTTGACCCAAGGTCAAGGCCGGGAGGCAGACGAGTAGGATATACAGGTAGGACATTGTGAAGGTTTCTGTCGAGAGAAAATTAAAACATTTTTAAGTAGAGAAAAACAACAATACAAATATGTTAGGAATTTGCGGTTACGTTTCTTTTTGTAAAAACTCACGCATTGTCTTATGGTTTAAAATGATTAAAAATTCTTAGTAAAAGTACACAATAAACAGTATTAAAAATTCGCTTTTTTACTGACATTGTCCAAAAAAAACGAAGTTAGAATAAACAGTTTGGTGAAATATATACATATTTTTTTCTGCTTCAAGGTGTATTTCGTTTGCTTGAAAAAAAAAAAAAAACAATACTTTTGAAAAAAAAGTTAAACTGTAAATTTGATTTTTTAGCTAAATAAGCTATGTATTATTTTAAAAAAATATCAATTTAAAAAAAGTTATTGTTTTAAGCATAAATTCACCATCATTTCGATGTCTTTATATAAATCATTGCCAAATGCAATTGAATTATTCAAACAGACATGATCAGACATATTTTATTTTATCGGAATTTAAACATCATGAAATCAAACTGAAGTATTTAAAAAAAATAATTGATCAGACTTATTTTAATGTGTTCTATTGTTAATTAAAGATTTCAACTTTCAACAGACCAACAATCAGCAAGTTGATGTGACCGGAGGAGTAACGGGCCCTGGTAAAACGTGAGCATTATATGGACAGCTGGACTTCAAGTGCAGACAACTTTTGGTGCGTGGGAACACGACATTCGTTGTTGACCCTGAGCCTCCACGATTAGAAACTATAACGATTCATTTTCAGAATTCGCTTATTTAAATGCTCTAAAAAATTAACATTTTCTAAAAAAATGTAACATACTTATCAATCACTATGAACCTTGTATTTGTGTACATGTTGGTTTATGAGTCGTATGTGGCGAATTTAGTTGGGGCAGGTTTTTTGTGTATTCTAAATTCACTATACTTCGGGGTCATCCATAAATGACGTCACGCTTTTTTTGACGATTTTTACCTCCCCCCTCCCCTCCCTCACACGTCGTCACAAAAAGCCAGACCCCCCCCCCCCCCCTAAAATGACGTCACACCTCAACCTACAACCCCCCTCAAAATTGCAGTTGAATTTTTTTAAACATCGATATTTTTCCAAAATCTTGTCTAAACTATTACAATTTATTAAAACAGTTTTCTAAAACGCGAAATAACGTCTAAAATTCGTTTTCTAACATTGCTGTTTTATAATGCAAAAATGTGACGTCGCAACATCTGACCCCCCCCCTCCCCCTCATCACACATCGTCACAAAATTACGGACCCCCCCTCCCCCCTACGAGTGTGACGTCATTTATGGATGACCCCTTCTATGATCGCATATAGATCCGGGTGATGATGTTTAAATAACGGGTATCACTATCCTAACACTGGCCCTAGACAATTAAGATTTTAGATCTACTTGGCTTTTTTTATAAGGGATGAGTCCACGTATAAATGGTGTAGTTTCTTCCAGACTTTTTTCTCCGGGGGGAGGTGGGGGGGGGGGGGGGGGAGGCTATTGAAAATTTCCGGGAGGGGTGCGGAGTAAAATATCCTGGACGGACTGACACTGTTAAAATTAAAAGTATTTTCTATATAAATTCCAATTCGTTGGAGTGTGGGGGGGGGGGGGGGGGAAGGGGGGGGGGGAGGCGGTTGACTTTCTGAGCCCCCCCCTCCCACTCCGAAGAGATGCCTGGAAGAAACACTGGTTAAATGTATACATGTTCTATCAATTAAACGCACTTGGGGGACAAGGTAATATAGGACTGGGCCATCCACACAGGTTTGTACGCTCCCCGCTGGGTTGGACCATTATGGTTGGATTATTATGGTTTTACCATTATGGTTGGAGCATCCTAAGGGTTTGACCATTATGGTTGGGTTATTATGGTTGGTCATCACCACAAGGTTTGACCATCCCCAAAGGGTTGGACCATTATTGTTTGATTATTATGGTTTGACCATTATAGTTGGAGCACCCCAAGGGTTGGACCATTACGGTTCGACCATACCCACTGGTTTGTACCATTATGCTTGGACTATCCCCACAGGGTTGTTCTATTATGTTTGGATCATTAAGGTAGGTCATCACCACAAAGTTGGACCATTATAGTTTGATTATTATGGTTGGTCATCCCCACAAGGTTTGACACACACACGAACGCACACACGCACGCACACACACAGCGGCGTCATCAGGTTGTGTGTCACCAGATGGTGAGACTCAGGGTGCCATCTGTCAAATTAACATTTTATTTTTGGTGTCATCTGTCAAATTAACATTTTATTTTTGGTGTCAGCCTGTCAAATTAACATTTTTTTTGGTGTCAGCCTGTCAAATTAACATTTTATTTTTGGTGTAATCTGTCAATTGAACATTTTATTTTTGGTGTCAGCCTGTCAAATTAACATTTTATTTTTGGTGTCAGCCTGTCAAATTAACATTTTATTTTTGGTATCATCTGTCAATTGAACATTTTATTTTTGGTGTCAGCCTGTCAAATTAACATTTTATTTTTGGTGTCAGCCTGTCAAATTAACATTTTATTTTTGGTATCATCTGTCAATTGAACATTTTATTTTTGGTGTCAGCCTGTCAAATTAACATTTTATTTTTGGTGTCAGCCTGTCAAATTAACATTTTATTTTTGGTGTCAGCCTGTCAAATTAACATTTTATTTTTGGTGTCAGCCTGTCAAATTAACATTTTATTTTTGGTGTCAGCCTGTCAAATTAACATTTTATTTTTGGTGTCATCTGTCAAATTAACATTTTATTTTTGGTGTCAGCCTGTCAAATTAACATTTTATTTTTGGTGTCAGCCTGTCAAATTAACATTTTATTTTTGGTGTCAGCCTGTCAAATTAACATTTTATTTTTGGTGTCAGCCTGTCAAATTAACATTTTAATTTTGGTGTCAGCCCTGAATAGATAAAAGCTGTTGTTCCCCCTTAAAATCAATTTATTTCTTTCATTTTGCTGTAACTCTTTTATTCTTGTCAACCGGTGCGGATCTCTAGCCCTCTGCTAAGGACTTTCACTGCACACATCTAACATAGTCTACACATCTCTTACACAGGTGCTACATTTACGATAGGCACCGGTTCCCTCCCCCATTTCACCCCACCTCTCACATTCACACACATACACCACATTTAAACGGAAGCTGTATCCCAACTTAGAGCTCACCATCATACGTCACACTGAGCGACCATGACGTAGGTTTGGGCCTTAAGTTCCAAAATACAAGACTGCAGAACCCAAGTTCAACTACGGGAGAAAACACTCGGTTCCATACCGAAAGGGTTTATAGATAATCAGTTATAACAATTGTCGTACTTTCTAAGATTTTATTCTTTCTTTTAGGAAGAATTTAGTCCGTATATCTGTTTTCCTTTTATAATCGTTCATTTTAAAATTATGCAACCAAATACATTATGTTTCAGTGTCGCTTTTTTTCTACAAAAAAAACAACTTTTAATAGGCGTGATAATTTTATTTGTATTTTATTTCATCCATGAAATATATATATAAGAAAACACATATCAGTGTGACGCTGTTTAATATTAAGAGCATTAGGTAACACAAAGAATTGTACCACTGTTAAAGAATAACGCAGTTCACTTGCGTCGTGTCCAGCACTCGCCCTACACCTGCTGACGTCATAGTTTAACCAGCTATTACACCTGAGGTGATTGCAACGAAAAACCTGGGAGAAAAAAGATAATCAAAGACTTTAAAGTATGAAAAAACTACAGAATATTGAACAAGATAGGGAGGAAAACGTACGGTCGGTCGGTACAATAGTAATCCACAAACTATATATAAAGCCAGTTCTCTTGCTTCCCTGTGTCTTTTAAATTTCTATTAGAAAACTCAAAAAATGACGTCTACATGTATATTTTTATGTAAGACATTGTTCATGTTATGTACAGAAATTCAGCGTTTACCCAGATACACGGTAGAAAGACATTATGGTGTGTGTGTGTGTGGGGGGGGGGTGTAGATCACTAATCTAAATATGCTGGGTTTGGTTTACATGGGTTCTTAAGGCTCTCACTGAGTACACCTAGTTAGCTGAAAGCGTACGTGTCTAGTTGACTACACTGTCACTTTATACGCCGAGGTCACATATATTAAAGTTCGTCTTAGTGTGTCTGACAAAAACCACAACTTACCAACCTGGTGTACACAAACACCATACACCTACCTGTGTACACAGACCTACAAAAAACCACACACTTACTTGGTGTACACAGACCTACAAACGACACACACACACCCATATTTTACACAAACACCACTCATCTACCTGGTGTACACAGTTGTACTAACACCACACCTTACCTACCTTGTGCACACTGACAAACACCACAAACCCACTTAGTGTACACTGACAGACACCACACACCCACTTAGAGTACACTAACAATGACCACCCCCTACATACCTAGTGTACACAGACCAACAATCACCCCACCCCTACATACCTAGTGTACACAGACCAACAAACACCCCACCTTACATACCTAGTGTACACAGACCAACAAACACCCCACCTTACATACCTAGTGTACACAGACCAACAATCACCCCACCCTACATACCTAGTGTACACAGACCAACAATCATCACCCCCTACATACCTAGTGTACACAGACCAACAATCCCCACCCTACATACCTAGTGTACACAGACCAACAATCACCCCACCCTACATACCTAGTGTACACAGACCAACAATCACCCCACCCTACATACCTAGTGTACACAGACCAACAATCACCCCACCCTACATACCTAGTGTACACAGACCAACAATCATCACCCCCTTACATACCTAGTGTACACAGACCAACAAACACCACCCCTTACATACCTAGTGTACACAGACCAACAAACACTACACCTTACATACCTAGTGTACACAGACCAACAATCACCCCACCCTACATACCTTGTGTACACAGACCAACAAACACCACCCCCCAACATACCTAGTGTACACAGACCAACAAACACCACCCCTACATACCTAGTGTACACAGACCAACAATCACCCCCACCCTACATACCTAGTGTACACAGACCAACAATCACCACCCCTACATACCTTGTGTACACAGACCAACAAACACCCCACCCTACATACATTGTGTACACTACAAACACCACCCTACATACCTTGTGTACACAGACCAACAAACACCACACCCCTACATACCTAGTGTACTCAGCAAGGCTGACCAAATGGTTGCCGTCCGTATCCTCGCTGGCAAAGTTCTTGTCGTGGTCCGTGTCGTCCAGGTGGTGGTCGCTGTTGACGTCCAGGACGTCAAACACGCCGTGGAGCAGGTGGTTCAGCTGGGGGTCATGGCCGTACGTGTCCGTCACCCGGACGCTGTACTCGTGTCTGGACACCAGGCCGTCATGGTTGGTGTCGAAACCCTGACATTTGGAAGTTTAAATCACGTGACAATAGCTGGACACCAGGCCGTCATGGTTGGTGTCGAAACCCTGACATTTGGAAGTTAAATCACGTGATAATATCTGGACACATGACATTCATGGTTGGTGTCAAAACCCTGACATTTGAAAGCTTTAATAAATCACTCAATAATATCTAGACACCAGACCGTCATGGTTGGTGGCAAAACCCTGAAATTCGGAAGTTTAAATCACGTGATAATATCTGGACACTAGGCCATCATAGTTGGTGTCAAAACCCTGACATTTGGAAGTTAAGTCACGTGATAATATCTGGACACATGACATTCATGGTTGGTGTCAAAACCCTGACATTTGGAAGTTAAGTCACGTGATAATATCTGGACAACAGACTGTCATGTTTGATAATTTAGATTACGCGATTAAAAAAAAAACTCACAGCGAAATAGACGGATAGCTCTGGCCTTTCGATGTTGCCGTCGTTGTTGGCGTCTATCTTGGCGAAGAGACTGGCAGCAACAGCTTGCATGTCAAACTGACCACTGGTCAGTATTGGGAGGCAGGCGAGGATGACGTATAAGTAGGACATTTTATCTGTAGTTTACAGAAACAAAACATTCGAAAATAATGTTTATCTTAAAATTGAGACTTTTTAACAAATAGAGAATGATAAAATATTTTTTTTACATATTACGAATTTATTCTCTTAATAACGTAAAGTCAATATAGTATAATATAGACTTGCATAAAATAATACAAAAACCTTGCTTATTTTAAAATAACCCTTTTCCCGTAAAGCTAATAGAATGAAACATGTACGTTAAATTTTAGTTTTAAACTAAGATACTTTTTATATTTTTTCTTTTAAATTTAGTTTTATAATAACGTCTGTAATTACGAAATCTATTTCTAAATATTCATAGTTTAAATACCAACTTCTCTGGGTTGTTGTATTACAACTAAAATAACTCAGCAATAATCAAGTATTGTATAATTAAAGATTCTTATCGATACTAAAACACTATTAAAGACAAAATTACAAGGTAAAAACGTACCAGGTTACTACAAGATGTGAAGAGAGTTAAAAACGACAAAACATTTATTTTTGGCCACGATAAGTAAATCTGGCATCCGATGTAGTTACAGATTGCAACCTCTACGTGTGTGAAATACACCACGTGCCACGTCTTACAACAAAACAGATACTTATCTGGTCTGTAGGTTTATAGATTTAAAATCGGAACTTTGCAATGTGCTCACAATTTTAGTTCATCACCAGGTCAACCAAAGCAAGAGATTTTAACTCAATTACATATATTTTAGGAAAAAACAATACTATTTTGTTCTTTGTAGTAAAATATATGTCTGATAAAATAAACATCAATATATGGGAGAAAGTATATTTTTATGTGACAAGAAAAAGGGAAAGGCTGAGGGCACTCAAAGGTATTCAATCATGAATTTTTAAAATTCATATTTTCGAGCGAAAAAAAAATTGAATCCTTTAAAACAAAAAGATCCAAAAGACAAACCCCACTTAAAAGGTAGGCTACTGGCGCTACACGAAGGCAACATAAATCATTAAAAAAACCTCCAAGATAACAAATCAAACGAAAACAAAACAAAAACAAACAACAAAAAAATATTTTTCCGTGGTGAGATTATTCACAATAAAAGGTTGAAAACATTTAGAGGTAAATGTTTTCGATATTTTAAATTTTGAAACTAAGTAATAGATTTAAATATGGCAACATTTTTTTCCCCACTTACATATTGGAGTGTGTGTTTGAGATTTAAAAAAAATGTACAACTAACAGTGCAATGAAACTAAAAAAAATAAATAATTTAAAAAAATCACCGAATTAGATTTTGAAATGTTTGCTATGTCCCACGTTATCTCAAATCACGTTTTATTGGCCAATGTTTGTGTCGATTCTTTTAAAATCCTTATTTTTCATGTTTTGAAGACGTGTTAAGGTCGAACAAGTTGAGATTAGACATCTAGAAACTAAGTGATGACCTCAATACCAAATATGGTGCTGCTGAATCAGTAATGAGCTATCTCAATAGACGTTACAGATAACGCCAGTTAGTAGATCTATTTAGCCATGTGACTCTTGATATAAATAAATAAATAAATAAATATATATGTATACATACATACATACATACATACATACATATATATATATATATATATATATATATATATATATATATATATATATATATATATATATATATATATATATATATATATATATATATATATATATATAGTCATATGTATATATATATGAATATATATATATATATATTATATATTTATGTATACACATAATATATATATATATATATATATATATATATATATATATATATATATATATATATATATATATTTTCATATATATACATATGACTTTATATATAGATAGATAGATGTATATATATATATATATATATATATATATATATATATATATATATATATATGTATGTATATATATATATATATATATATATGTATATATATATATATAGGCCTATAATATATATGTGTATATAAATATATTATATATAATAGGTATTGAATATGTTTGTGGTAAAAAGGGAAAAGGCACAAGCAGATGTTATGAATAACGACGAACTATCTCTCACTTCTTCGGAAAATAAAGTAAATAATATACCTATAGTAATATCCTTGAATATATGCACTTGAAATTTAAAAAAAAACTTATTTAAAAAATATATGTATTAACAATTAATAATTTACATTTCTATTTCTTTACGAAATTTTTACAAACAGGTTTCTGAAAGGTTCATCACAATCTCCCACATATAGTATATTTGAGACAACAAGTGAGTACCATTTAGCCCTGTCTATAGCTATAACCCCTGGTATGATGTCCGACTGAAAATGTTCTTAGCCAACGTGTCCTGGCACAGGGCTCAGCCATCCCAATCTTGTGTAAAGACCAACGTAAAAAGTGAAACAATTTTTCGTTTTAAATCATTATTAGGGATGGTTTTTGACGCAAGCAATTACTCTGGAAACTTTCTGGTTTATCCACAATGGCTTTGTGATTTTCCTAAATTCTGAACAATACATAACGTATCTCTTTCATGATTTCCGTATGATTTTAGCATATCGAATGATAAGTAAGCTCTCTTTTTTTCTATTTTTACCTTTTCGAAGTAAGCTAGATACATAGCTCTCCCGTATCTTTGGTTCATTGGGCCTTAACTTTCACATATAAGTGTTGGTACAACATACATATTAGTGTTGTGACAACGTATATAAACACGTTGGATAGAACATTCGATATGATCTTACTACCATCATTTAAGTTCATTTTTATTAAAAAATCTAAGTATAGATCCCCCCTAACGTTTCCCATTCGAGCAAGGGATTATGAGACGGCGTGGCCCAGCGGTGGAGAGCTAGACTGAAAACCTGAAAGTCTCGAGTTTGAATCCGGGTTCAAACAACCAAAGTTTAGTATATAACCCTATCACCTTAGGCCTATACATTCTAGTTACATCACAATGATAATTATTATGGCTGTTACACCTTCACGAAAGTATGTATTTATTAATATAAATGGTTTTTCATTTAATCAATAGAAAAAAAGTATACAGAATAGTTGGAGCTTAACGAATAGGCATACATTTATATACATCTTTATTGATCATGTGTAAGGTAACAAAATTTATTGAAATGTATTGGTTATTCAACGCAATAAAATTTATTTGGTTTTAATGAAATAAATTTAAAGGTTGTATTCCGTAACATTATGTTTATTTTACACGAGAAGTAAAAGGAATAATTATTAAACTATAATAAATAAAAACATTACATTATTTTTGGAAGCATTGCATTTGTTCTCCAATTATTTAACAATAATAGAATAAATAATTATATTAGTAAATGAGCAGTATTATATGTTTAAATTTTTATTACAAATTAAATATATTACATTTCAGTTAATGATCTTATACCTCCCATACCACAGGACGCACACAAAGGGATCCCAGTAAAATCTTGTTTCAAATCACGCCGCAAGATTAATTAATTACCTTCTGCGAATGAATACAACAAATGATGTATTCTCTCACATAGCATTTCAGGAATTACAAAAATTTATTTTAGCAATAATTTAAAACGCATTATTTAATTTTCTTTATAAAATGTGTAAACACGAATCTAAATAGCCCAAAAATGCATCTTGTTTGTTCTTTACCCGATTGCGTTAATTAAAGTAACCTCCCTTTCAAACCCAGACAAATTGAATCGTGTTTAATTTAATTTACTAATGATCAGATGTCACAATGATATTATTGTTCGGATGATATTTGTGTAACTGTAAACACTGTAACTAATTAATTAATGTATTTTTGATTAAAAAAAGATAACATCGGTTGTCCGCTATCAAACGCTTCAAGTTTTTCTGGTTTGAAGAATCTAGCGAGGGAAAAGTTCATCCTGACCTGCTGCTCGATGGTCTGCAGTTAGATCTAATGGTTTGAACCCTGAGGCGTGTTGATTGTGTCGCTCTCCGCATTTGAAAATAATCTCCCATTAATTTGTTAATTAAATATTTGGGGACATTATCACCACGTCTTCATTTGTTTCTCTTTGGGAAGTTTTTTGTTTCATTTTAAAAAACAAATTAAAACATGCCCTAAGTAAGATTTTCAAGATATTAAACGCAAAAATGTCGCTACACCAGCATACATTATTTTAGCTCATCCAATCCGTTCAGACTGATCCAGTCCAACACATCAATTCTATCAAACTTAATCGATTACACCCTCTCTCCCCCAACACATAAATTCTATCAAACAATCCATTACTCACTGTCTACCCCAACACATCAATTCTATCAAACTTAATCCATTATACCCTGTCTACCAAAACCCTTTCAGTGTAGCTGATGGCGTGTTTAGATGGTAGAGCTTACGACTGCTAATCTGAAGTCTCGAGTTTGGATCCCGGGCTTAAGTATGTAGGACGTCCATGAGTCCAACCAGTTCTGATAGGTACCTGACTCACATTAAGGAAACAAATTTGGCTGGGCATAATGCTGACCACACTATCCCTCATATGACGAAGTCATTGAAACAGATGTACTCTACTTCATCTGCCCTATGTTTCTTGGGCGCGAACGAAAAAATATGATGAAATTAAGCGTAGAGTCAGTTGAAGTATCTACCACAGCTTTAAGGATTAATGAAATTAAAAAAAACGCCATTTAAATGTCATTTTACTGATAAGAAATCCTGCATTCGTATGTACTGTGAGCATTATCAGTCAGTCAACATAAGCAGAGTGCAGAGGCAGGCTATTTATAGCAAGACTTACGCACGAGGATTGTTAAATGAAAACATAACTCATTGTTTCTTTAAAAAAATGATGATTTTTTATTTTTGTTTATTTACCAATGGCTGGTCCAAGAATAGATTTGAAATATCTGGAAAAAAAATAGTTTATTAAAAATTATAATTTGGATTATATCTTTCACTGACATATGAGACATAAAATGCATTTCAAACTTTAAAGTCAAGACTTTCTCGAATGTGGATGGGACGAAGCGTGATTTTCTTTTTATATAAAGTTAGTTGTACCTATCTTATCATAAACCATTAGGCTAGTTGTACCTATCTTACCATTAGGGCTAGTTGTACATATCATTAGGCTAGCTGTACCTATATTACCATAAACTATTAGGCTAGTTATACCTTTGTTACCATTAGGCTAGAGGGACCTATCTTATCATTAGGCTAGTTGTACCTATCTTACCATTAGGCTAGTTGTACCTATCTTACCATTAGGCTAGTTGTACCTATCTTACCATTAGGCTAGTTGTACCTATCTTACCATTAGGCTAGTTGTACCTATCTTACCATTAGGCTAGTTGTACCTATCTTACCATTAGGCTAGTTGTACCTATCTTACCATTAGGCTAGTTGTACCTATCTTACCATTAGGCTAGTTGTACCTATCTTACCATTAGGCTAGTTGTACCTATCTTACCATTAGGCTAGGTGTACCTATCTTACCATTAGGCTAGTTGTACCTATCTTACCATTAGGCTAGGTGTACCTATCTTACCATTAGGCTAGTTGTACCTATCTTACCATTAGGCTAGTTGTACCTATCTTACCATTAGGCTAGTTGTACCTATCTTACCATTAGGCTAGTTGTACCTATCTTACCATTAGGCTAGTTGTACCTATCTTACCATTAGGCTAGGTGTACCTATCTTATCATTAAGCTAGGTGTACCTATCTTATCATTAGGCTAGGTGTACCTATCTTATCATTAGGCTAGGTGTACCTATCTTATCATTAGGCTAGGTGTACCTATCTTATCATTAGGCTAGGTGTACCTATCTTATCATTAGGCTAGGTGTACCTATCTTATCATTAGGCTAGTTGTACCTATCTTATCATTAGGCTAGGTGTACCTATGTTATCATTAGGCTAGGTGTACCTATCTTATCATTAGGCTAGGTGTACCTATCTTATCATTAGGCTAAGTGTACCTATCTTATCATTAGGCTAGGTGTACCTATCTTATCATTAGGCTAGGTGTACCTATCTTATCATTAGGCTAGGTGTACCTATCTTATCATTAGGCTAGGTGTACCTATCTTATCATTAGGCTAGGTGTACCTATCTTATCATTAGGCTAGGTGTACCTATCTTATCATTAGGCTAGGTGTACCTATGTTATCATTAGGCTAGGTGTACCTATCTTATCATTAGGCTAGGTGGACCTATCTTATCATTAGGCTAGGTGTACCTATCTTATCATTAGGCTAGGTGTACCTATCTTATCATTAGGCTAGGTGTACCTAGGTGTACACGAGTTTTTACCTGGCGAACTCTGGCTCCAGAACCTGACCGTTGGCATCACCATCAGCTGCGGCAAACAGCTTGTCGTAGTCAGGTGTGTCCAGGTGGTTGTCGTTGTTGGTGTCGAGACTGTCGAACAGGCTGTGGAGGACGTGGTTGGTCTGTGGATCGTGGGCCCAGTCGGCGTCGACCTGGGTGGAGTACTCGTGTCTGCTGATGCGGCTGTCGCCGTTGGCGTCGTATGTCTATGGTAAAAGTTGGTTTATTTGTGTTGATTAGTTTTAGATAGTTAATTTTATTTAGATGATTTCAGTTGGTTGAGGTCTTGATTTGTTGATAGGATTTTAGTTATGATGGTCTAAGGTAATGTGTGAGTTTGTTGTGTTGGTTAGGTGGAATATTTTTGCAGGTCTGGCTAATGGATTTGATTAGAAAAAATGTATTTGGAAATGTGGGTAGATAAATATAATAGAATGATTTGGAGGCAGAACTGAGAGTTTTTCACGTGCAATTTCTAGGAAATTATATGACTCGTATCAATATTAATCTACAAGTGGGTCAGCGAGGTTGGGAGGGGAAAGCTCATGGTTGCTAACCCGCACACAAGAATGATGAATTCGATAGCTGGGGACAGCAACTCATCTAGGAGAGGAAACTCCGAAATCAAACATACAGGAGTGGAGTCGCTCAGGCGCTAGGATTACCAACTCTGGTTTCCTTTTGGTAGCTTCAGCAACAGTAAAGTTCCCTTTCAAACCTGACGGTCTTCTGGGCAAGTGAAGTAGAGTTCACCTGTTTCTTTGACCTCGGCATATGAAGGGATAGTGTGGTCAGCACTATGCCCAGCCGTGAGTTGGGTACACATCAAAGCTGGGTACGGTCTACTGACTTGAACCCGGATTTGAACTCAAGACTGACTGGTTAGCAGTCCAGCTCTCTACCGCTAGGCCACTCCGTCCCTTTTCAGCAACAAATATTTTGCTTAAAATTCCTTTAAACTAAAACAAAGTTCGAGAGAGAAATCACGATGCATGAGCACTTGCTAACACGGTTCCCGTGAGTGAAACTGACCTTGAAGTACTCGTCTATCTCTGGTCTGAGAATTTTTCCGTCCTTGTTGACGTCCATGCGCGTGAAAGCTCCCGCGGCGATGGCGTCAAGGTCTGGGGTCTGGCAGAAGACCAGGGCGGGCAGGCAGACGAGGAGGGCGGCGATGTACATCTTCGGGGATTCTGAAAGATAAAAATAGATTTAATAGATACACGTGTCGTTTGGGTAAATGCAACATCAGAGAAATATGTAATTAGTTGTGTGGATTGTATCATCATTCTGGATGTTGTCAAATCAGAAATCTTGGTTGTTAATGTAATTGTGTGCTCCATGATTCAACTTTTTTTCATGACTGATTACTTCATAAAGTTAAAGACATGTAACAAACGACTTGATTTCGTGTTAATATTTATTTAAAATATTGTTATTATTATTAATATTATTTAAAACAAAACTCTAATGATCAATACATATTCGTTCCTATAGTCCAAGAGATTAAAATGATTAATAGAAATGCCTTTATTTTTAGTTGATCATTGTAAGCGCGTTATATTTTAAAGTAGATTATTCACACACAATTTCATCAGCTATGAAAGTTAACTAAACAATTCCTAGCGAAAAAAAATGTGCGGTAATTCTTAACAGCTCTAAACAAATCGATTATGTCGGTGTCAACTCTATAGTTACTCTATAGTTACCTGTGTGTGTGTGGTCGTGAACCTAACTCGTGAGTCTCCGCACGTGTCTTATATAAGAGGCACAGCTCTCGCAGGACACGTCAGATGTAGGGGGGGGGGGGATGGTGGGAAAGTTTCCAGACGTCATCCGGTCAGTCCACGTGACTTGGCTGCAGCAGTTTGTGTTCGGATGTCGGACGTCTTATCAGAAGGTGCTCCACTGGAAACCTTCACACGGCTGGACTAGCGTGACAGTTACTAAATAAAGGAAGTTACAGATGTGGGACAACCTAAGTTACATATAACGGCCGGGCGGTCGTACGATAAAAATATCATGAAGTTACAATTTTTAAGCGTTTTGACATGCTCTGGTCTATTGGTCTATATCTTTAATTTTATAAATAGTTAGGTATGTCTATCATAGTCTCAGTCTCTTTCTCCCCTTCACTCTCTCTTTCTCTCGCTGTATATATATATATATATATATATATATATATATATATATATATATATATATATATGTATATATATATATATATGTATATATATATATATATATATATATGTATATATATATATATATGTATATATATATATATATATATATATATGTATATATATATATATATATATGTATATATATATATATGTATATATATATATATATATATATATATATATATATATATATATATATATATATATATATATATATATATATATATAAATGTTTGTGTTTGTGTGTGTATATAATCTTTAAATACATTTCACATTTCATTAGATTAAGAACAAACTAGATATTTTTGCTGTGTCATTGGGGTGTGTTATCTTCAAAACATGTGAGAGATTGATCCATTTTAACCAGACAACCTGAATTGTTTTCCTTAGAAAAGTTTTTGTAAAAAAAAAAAACCCAATGTCTTATGCTAAAAAAGTAAAACAAAAAACTTTAGTCGCACCAAATTTGCAAAGATTTCTACAGCTTTTTCTTTTACGATTACTTCAAAAGAACACGAGGATCTTGTTATTGTTTTATTATGTTTTAATAAAGATTCTACATCAGCACCGTGTATCTCATCTCTGTAGCAGTTGCATAGAGCAACAAAAGTTGGAAATAGGGAGTTCTAAACAACAGACCGGTAGGCTACATAAACACCACACCTGTACCTGTATCTCTAGCTTTTGGTCCACACCTTGACGAAATATGAACTAAATCTTTTAATTAATCTGCAATTGTCCTGCAAAGTACATGGACACAAATCTTACTTTATGTTCAAACTTAAATTGAGCTTACGCCTGACATTTATTTTACACTTATTTGGACGGAAAAAAATTGTTATTTCCCCTTTCTAATAGCAATAAATGCACTGACAAAAGGGGCATAAAACTAATTTGCTTTCTTCCATAAAAGCTTTGGTTACTCACCAGATCTTTTACATGTTTTAGTAACAAGTAATCTTGTTACCTCTCCTTAGTTTCAAATCAATTAAAAACTATATTATCTGACCCTAATAGCCTTCACTAGATCGACCGCTTCGACGATTGTAAACATTTTTGTGAACCACAGCTCACCAGACTGCTAGGATGGTCGCGTCTAGCTTTTTGTCTCCCCTTTTGATACTGAATATGGTAATCTATCCAGTGATTTAATTTTTTTTTATCTCGCCTTAGTTTCGAAACCGTCTATTAATTTGTTATGACTAATGAAACATCTATTTAAATTAAATTAGATAGACTTGTATTGTCATCGAAGTGGAACGTATCTGGAAAGCTTGGACGAAATCTCTCATTGTAAGTGTGTCAAAATCTGAGTTACACGATTTGCACAAACCCACAAACACACAGATGTTGCGAACTCAATAAAAGCTCGTAAAAACCAAAACTATCCATGTTTACGATTTTTCTGGTAACTTCTTTCTGATTGGATGAAATCATAACAGATTTAGATGACGATTTTATGGAATATCAACATATCATCATGTGGTAACACTAACAGTATTATTAAAAGTAAGTTGATTGAAGTGCTATCACTGACATTGGCGTAGCCAGGATCGTCTCAAGGGGGGGGGGGGGGTGTTCCAATTTTTACCCGGGGACAAACTTTCGATTGCACTCCCTCCCTCAAAGTTTTGATTTGCACCCCCCCCCCCTCTAACTTCCGATTTGCACCCCCACCTCAAACTTTTGATTTGCACCCCTCCTCCTCAAACTTTCGATTTGCATCCCCCCTCATACTTTTTATATATATACCGAGGGGTCTATGGGGGGGGGGGGGGAGGTTATGACCCCCCAAACCCCCCCCCCCCTGCCTACGCCACTGATCACTGAAGTACAAAGACTTCAGTACTGTGACCGAATTATCATAGAGTAAAGTGCTGTGACTTAAGTACGTCCCAAATTAAGATGACTATTCGATACCTTCCATGCTCATCGATAAGCCGTTGTTTACACATTTATATTTTGATTTTGCATTCTTCGGTTGCCAGTGTGTAAAATTAAGAGGAAACCAACAAGTGAACCAGATATAACCCATTTATGATTTATGCCACTAATTTATACGATTACATCTAGAACTAAAGTTGAGGGAAAATATATTTTAAATTTAAGTTTTTTGAATGATATATAAATTACTTATTCTTCAAAAAAAATCCAATAAAAAATAACAAAAACAAACAACAAAACAGCATTTTATTTATACAATGTTTTTTTTATTGATTCGTTTTTGTGAGTTTAACCAAACGATGGCCCAACGAGCACTCGGAATTGTCTGAAAATAGAAACAAAAGAAAATTTTTTCACGAATTCAAATACTTTTTTTTACTGATGTTAATCATTAATTATAAATCTTGTTTTGTTGACTTTTACTTGACCATTAGATTTAGTAGGTTTTAAAATATTTAAACTTTTATTGAATAATTTGTACAGCTTTAAAATCGTAACAAATTTTATGTGTGTAAATAATTTTTCAATTATTCAATGAAAGAGGATAAATATATTGTATTTACTTAAGTATATGAAAACAAATACTTTGTCAATATAGGTCTTAAATTTATAACTTAGGCAATCATTCAAATAACTTTTATTACCTGCTTCGCCTACTTCTATTACTATAAATATATATACACAAAATATTTTGTTAAATGTACAGTAGGATCCAAGAATTAAAAGAAGAACGCCGCTGGTTTAAAGAAGTCTTTAAGCACTAAACACTATAACTATATTTCCGCAACATTTTTTTTTTACGATTAAGATTATAACAATTTGACAAAACAGAGGGTTAAGACTTATGTTAGGGAGCGAAATTAGCAAATGAACAGACACCAATCCATTCTGCGGACTAGTAAAAAGGCAATCGTAGGTTTTGCTACTTTTGTACTCTAGCTGACCTTTTATACTGTAGATGTCCTTTCGTATTCTATGTGACTTTCTTACTCTACAGGACCTTTTGTACTCTAGATGACCTTTCTTACTATACATGAACTTTCTTACTCTGCCTGACCTTTCGTACCTGCATAACCTTTAGTAACCTACATGACCTTTCCTACTCTACCTGACCTTTTGAACCCTACATGACATTTGCACTCTGCCTGACCTTTTGTACCCTGCCTGACCTTTCGTACTCTACCTGACCTTTCGAACCCAACATGACCTTTGCACCCTGCCTGACCTTTCGTACTTTGTCTGACCTTTCGAACCCTACATGACCTATGCACCCTGCCTGACCTTTCATACTCCAGCTGGGTGAGCTGGTTGTTGTTGTTGGAGTCCGCCGCCGTGAAGAAGTGGTTGTAGTCTAGCAGGTTGAGGTTGCTGTCGTCGTTGAAATCCAGGTCGTCGAAGAGGCTGTGGAGTACTCGGTTGGCGTCGGGATCGTGGTAGGTGGCATCGATATAATGGAAGTATTCGATTCTGGAGACCCGTCCATCATTGTTTCCGTCGTAAGCCTAGAATTGTTTTTAATTAAACGGAACTTTTTTCAAGGCGTTCAAAATTTCTTTATACGTTTTGTTTTATATTGATTGATTAAAACTGGATTTCGCCTTTTTTTTTTGCCCCATCTGAATGAGTAGACTTAAAAGCAATATTAATGCCCGTTTACACAATTTCATTATAAACGAATGTTATGATTTGATGTTTAAAGATTAAGATGCCAATTTCATAACAACATGTAATAATGTAACAACGCTTACAGTAAGCAAAAAGTACCTTGACTGAAGTGCTATCACTTAAGTACTGTGACTGATGTACCATTATTAGAGCGCTATGACGTAAGTACTACTGTACAAATACATGACTAAAGTAGCAAGCAACAACTACCTTGGTTGAATACCACTACTGAAGTGCTTCTGACTTAAATACCATGACTAAAGTACCATGACTAAATTAATATGACTAAAGCAGCTTTTCAACAATGACTAAAATACCATGACTAAAGAACCATGAATAAAGTACATGACTTTGTTCATGAATAAAGTGACATAGTATATGACTTAGGTACCATGACTATGGACCATGACTATGTACCCTTACTAAGAACCATGACTAAGTACTATGAATAAAGTACAAAAGTACCATGACGTAAGTACCTTGACTAAGTACCATGACTAGAGTACAAGATTATGTACCATGACTAAGTAGTATGCCTAGAGTATAAAAGTAGCATGACTAAGTACCATAACTAAGTACTATGACTAATTACCATGACTATGTACCATGACTAAGTACTATGACTAGAGTACAGAAGTACCGTGACTATGTACCATGACTATGTACCATGACTAAGTACTATGACTAGAGTACAGAAGTACCGTGACTATGTACCATGACTATGTCCCATGACTAAGTACTATGACTAGAGTACAGAAGTACACTGACTATGTACCATGACTATGTACCATGACTATGTACCATGACTAAGTACTACGACTAGAGTACAAAAGTACCATGACTAAAGTACAGTGACTACAATATGTTCACTGACCGTGAAGTAGTTCTCCAGCTCTGATCTCGTCAGGTGACCGTCATGGTTGGCGTCTATTCTCCTGAAGGAAGCCGCCGCCACTGCCGTGAGGTCAATGTCCTGGGCCAGTGCCAGCAGTGGCAGGCAGACGAGGAGGGTCAGTTGCACGTGCATGTTCGAGCCTGGGAGAAATAGAATAAAATCACGTGATGCCAGTAGAAAGGAACTCACGTCTGCTATGTGAATCAGGCATCGTTCAAATTATCGTGTTGGTTTATTTCACACGAAAAATCAAGACTATTCATCTATTCATGTATATATATATATATATATATATATATATATATATATATATATATATATATATATATATATATATATATATATATATATATATATATATATATATATATATATATATATATATATTGTATATATATATATTGTATATATATATATTGTATATATATATATATATATATATATATATATATATATATATATTGTATATGAATATATATATATATATATATATATATATATATATGTATACATACATATATATATATATATATATATATATATATATATATATATATATATATATATATATATATATATATATATATATATATATATATATATACTGGGTGGGTGGTTCTATTTGAAGCTTAGGATCATTTACAAGTTAAAATACAAATTAAATAAATGAAACAAACTACGCGATTCAAACAAGTTTAGACACACATACCTTTAGAAGTTTAGTGACAGTACTGACCTGTCTAAGTACAGATTGTATCTGTAGAAGTAGGTTGACTGACACGAGATAAGAACTCACATGAAGATCTTTCGTGGACGCCTGTCAGCTGGAGCATGCGGAATGTTTTTTTTTGTGTGTGTGAAGATTTGACAGAACATAGAACACAGATATTCCGATAGGTTTTGTATACGGGATTGTGAATCATTAATTATTCTTGGTTATTGTCGTTGTCTCCTCCAGTTCAAACATTGCTAGAATTTGTCAAAATCTATTTTAATTTTAGTTTTAATCTATTTTTATAGGCTTGGAAAAATAATGTCATTAGGTATTATTCGGTGCACACAAAAGAAACAACAACAAAAAAGCAAAAAAAAAAAACAACAACCCCACAGGTAAAATATGTGTCACTCTAAACTTGATTACCGGACCTTTCTTAAATCACGTGACAATTTACTTTAGGATTGAAATAAACTAGCAAAGCAGCTTTAGTTTGTTTGTACGGTTTCATTATCATCATCATCATCATCATGATCACCATCACCATCACCATCACCCTCACCCTCACCATCACCATCACCATCATCATCAACATCAACATCAACATCAACATCAACATCAACTTTAAATTACAAACAAATAAAATCTGATACTCAAAATTAAAAGTTTTATTTTTCCAGAAAGCTTAGTAGCCTAAACACGTTTCACAGTATCTCTGTATACACTGTAGGGGCCGATTGCCAAAATTTCTTAGTGTATGTCAGACTACCCTTGTTGGCATGGATAGTCCTCACAGGAAATGAAAGCATTACTACACTTGCAGCTTTGGCATTCATTTTTGAAGTCCTTGAACTTCTAAACAGCATAAAGATAAAATACAGCAATTTAAAACACATACTTTAAAAATGTGTTCAATACATAAATGAACTAATGAAATAATAGGCCTACATCGTTGTTGTTTTAGGTATTTTTCACCTAACTAACCCCCCCCCCCCCCCCCTCCACATACACCATGCCCCCAACCCCACCCCTATACGGTGTCTAAGCGTCCTTTTTCACGCGTCTTTTCTTTTGGATATCATGGCATTTAGACAGAGTTTTCACTGTCGAGCTAAGTCAAAAAATGTGTTACTGTTTGTCTTTTCTGTCTAATCTTTAACCCCACTGTTGTGTGCTGACGAAGACCTTGGGTCGAAACGTCCATAGTATTTGTAACTGTCTTTTACTTGTGAGGTAACTAACACTATCTGTTTTATTACTGATTGAATTAACCTCACTGCAGCTGCCATTTTCGAACTCAATCACTTTTACATTACTTACAACAGTGTTATAATTGTATATAAAGACAAATATGACGCATAACGTTAACATTAAAACTTTAATAAAATAGTAAATCTTCCACAAACTAGATTTTATTTGATCAAGTCTGGATTCACATACAAGTAGCAACTCTAAACAAATAAAATAAACAGCATTGACACATCTTCCGCCGCAAAAGAATATAACAACGGCACATCACAACTCTAATAACAGCAAGTTAACGTACAAATATTATTTAAATTAATATCAAGACTTTACTCGCAAACACAAACAATGGCAAGATAATTAGTGTATTAATTAGGCTTGTTAGAACTCTAATCAAGTAACACGTCTAGTCGTGAACTTCATTAATCAAGAATTTTCCATTATGTGTCTAGTGTACCCAACTACCAAAGGGGTCACCTACAATACCTTAGGTTAATTTTCACTCGTAACGAATGCCTTAATTAGCCGCTGATAGGATTAGCGTTACAAGTAAAGCATACTGCGCACATGGGACATTGTAAAAACCATGGATTACACAAAGCCAAACCAAAGTTAATTAAAAGAAAAAATAACATCACACCTACATAAACTGCGACATAAAACTTACCTGTCCCTAAAGAAAAAACAACACGACTACGTAAAGCGAGACATAAAACTTACCTGTCCCTAAAGAAAAAACAGCAACACGACTACATAAAGCGAGACACAAAACTTACCTCTCCCTAAAGAAAAAACAGCAACACGACTACATAAAGCGAGACACAAAACTTACCTCTCCCTAAACAAAAAAACAACAACACGACTACATAAAGCGAGACAGAAAACTTACCTGTCCCTAAAGAAAAAAAAACAGCACGACAACATAAAGCGAGACATAAAACTTACCTGTCCCTAAAGAAAAAACAGCAACACGACTACATAAAGCGAGACATAAAACTTACCTGTCCCTAAAGAAAAAACAGCAACACGACTACATAAAGCGAGACATAAAACTTACCTGTCCCTAAAGAAAAAACAACAACACGACTACATAAAGCGAGACAGAAAACTTACCTGTCCCTAAAGAAAAAACAGCAACACGACTACATAAAGCGAGACATAAAACTTACCTGTCCCTAAAGAAAAAACAACAACACGACTACATAAACTGCCACGGAAAACTTACCTGTTCTTTGTGAACACAAACACCAGGACAGTACACGGGGTCGCATAGAATGGTTTCACTGACATAACAGAAGCATTTGTCGCACCCCTCAACTGGTACTTTCTCTATGGCGCCGTACCTCTACACAACAGATACATTTTTGTGAAACAGTAGCGGAAATTTATCCCTTATATTCCTATTTATTAATATGCAAATAGTTACCAGTCTACTTTCTTTACTGACAAATTTTAAAATAATGTTTGGAGCGTTCTGAAAGACAGTACAGGGACACGTGAGTATCGAGCTGATTGATTTGCCGCTTTAAAGCTCTAGTATATCTCTTATTTTCTTTAAATAGGTCTTTTACTCAATTTAATAATATGGTGCTGATCGATGAAACGTTAATATTAAACTCTCGATTCGCTAGCAAAATATAATCTTAATTCTAGTAATAAAATTTACTTTCTCATCCAGATCGGAAAGAGAAGTTATCTTCAATAAATAATAAAATTAGTAAAATAAATAAACAATTATGAGTAAATCGTATTTTGTGGTTCATTTAAAAAAAATATCACAATTTAAAACAGTAAGAAAAGTATTTGTTTTTAAATAAAAAAAAATTCAACTTTCTACATTTTAAAAAACTGTAAATGATCAAACCCGATTCTAAAAGCAATTTTTATAAATTAACTAAGTACACATTTAACAAAAAAATTTAGTAGGTATAACAGCTCATGAAGGTAAGAATTTTATGAGAGCTGAAAAGCACACCGCTAAGGTTTCTATTAACAACGTTACACATTACTGCTCAACGTTAAAAGATAGATAATATCTTACTTTTCCCTCGAAACCACATAAACCAATAGCTCCTCCAAAATACAATCCAACAGCAACCGTGAACAATAAGTAGTGCATGTTTCTTCTGTAAAAAATGTATCTGAAGCTATACATAAATAAATAAAAATAAATAAATATTTGATTTGATATCTATATGTATATGTATATCTATATCTCTATCTCTCTCTCTGTATATATATATATATATATATATATATATATATATATATATATATATATATATATATATATATATATATATATATATATATATATTTATACATATGTAGACTATATGCAGACTTAAGTAACTCACATATAAGCAGGTAGGCTATAAAGTAAATCAGAACCTAATACATATACCTTTAATAACACAACAAGCCCAGTTATATCAACCACAGCTGTCGCTTGTGCTAAAATTTGCCCTCGTGCTAATCATAGTAAATTTTAGTTTACAGCAGGGGTCTCCAAACTTTTTAGTCCGAGGGCCGCATTAACTATAAAATTTCAGTTCGGGGGCCAGTTTCTTCCAGGCATGTCTTTGATTTTTCTGGGCAAAGATCCTCAGCCATAACCAACAAACGTTTTTTCCGTGGACAAAAAAATCGCCGCGGGCCGGATGAGAGGAGCTGGCGGGCCGCATCCGGCCCGCGGGCCGTTGTTTGGAGACCCCTGCTTTACAGCGTAGGCCTAATTAGTTTTGTCTGCTATAAATAAAACCCCAATGTTTTAATGTTTGCACCACCAGCTCATTAGCTTTTATCTCAAAATATAAAACACGTGCATACACCTAAGTATACATACCAGCTGTCATCACCTCCAACCTAGACATTGTTTATATTAAGCTGAAGCTTCATAAAATAAAATAGTCAGGACCAGCGTTCAGTTATGACGATAAAATTAGCTGATTTTTTATTTTCAAATAACAGCAACCGAATCCTGACAAATGAGTTTAATCATACTACTGACATTCCCCCCCCCCCCCTTATAAATAAACCAGCAATTGAAATTTATTTCATGAGATTGCGTAGCTCGGTGGTAATCAAGACAAAATTTTAAAAAAATTATGCAATTGTTAGGCATAGGGTCTACAATGCAGTAGCGTAGCGAGGGGGGGGGGGGGGGCGGGGGGGGGGACATATGTCCCCGGGCGCCGACCTTAGAGGGCGCCAAAATGGGTTGGAAAAAATAAATTGAAAGGTTGAGGGGGGGTGCAAATTGAAAGTTTGAGGGGGGGGGGGTGCAAATGAAAATCTTGAGGAGGGGGTGCAAATCGAAAGTTTGATGGGGGGGGTGCAAATCGAAATCTTGAGGGGGGGGGGTGCAAATCGAAAAGTTTGTCCCCGGGCGCCGGGAAGGGTCGCTACGCCTCTGCTACAATGACATTCTGGATTATTTCTCACTCGCAAGCACTCAGACTAGCAGCATTATAGATCACCCCTAACAATACATTAAAAATGCCTGACCGTTTTTGCTTACTAGCTACATTACTAAGTGTGAGGGGGGATGAATGGATAGATCCTCTGCCAGTTGTGAGGGTGGGGAAAACAGTAACACTACCAAATGTGAGAGTTGGGTGATGAAGATGGTGAAAAGATCCAACACACACAAGTTCACTTCCAAGTCAAAATATAATGTTCTTTATTCAAATTTTACATAATCAACTTCCTACCTAACTAGCCTATTCTATACTATCTTCTGCTACTACTAACACTACTAACTACGCACTACCATGACCAATCCTACTACACTACATTCTAACTTTCTACCTAGCTCTTCATATGTTCGACCATCTTTACCTAACTCTGACCGTTCTCTAGCTAACTATCAACTGCGCCGCTGATCTAACTACTGACCCATGGTTCAGTGGTCAGCTGACCGTCCCACGTGACCGGTCAGCTCCTGTACTTTCATTGGTCTCTCTAACCAACTATCTATAGCCTGTTTCTGCTAACCTCTATCTACTTGATCTGTGTGATGTAACCTTGCGCCATCACACTCAGACATGTACGAAAGTATGTTTTACAGATCTGTTATTAGGGGTCGTCCATAAATGACGTCACACTCGTAGGGGGAGGGGGTCCGTTATTTTGTGACGGTGTGTGATGAGGTAGAGGGGGAGGGGAGGGTCAGATGGTGTGACGTCACACTTTTAAATTATAAAAAAGTAATGTTAGAAAACGAATTTTCGACGTTATTTTGCGTTTTAGAAAACAGTTTTAATAAATTGTAATAGGAATTGATTAAAATACTCTATTTTGACAGAGTTCAGACAAGATTTTGGAAAAATATCGATGTTTAAAAAAATATTCAACTGCAATTTTGAGGGGGGTTGTAGGCTGAGGTGTGACGTCATTTAAGGTGGGGGGGGGGTCTGGCTTTTTGTGACGACGTGTGACGGAGGGGAGGGGGGAGGTAAAAATCGTCAAAAAAAAAGCGTGACGTAATTTATTGATGACCCCTTAGAAGTGAGGTTTTGGATAGTTTTTTTTTTTAGTTATAGGGTATCTAGGTCAAGTTGTTTTCATGAAAAGTCCTTAGATACATTGTTCGACATATTAGTTTATGAGACTTGAATATTAAGGGTGAGAGGGGGGTAGAATTATTAAAATTTGCTATTACAAAGTAAATTTAATAGTAAATTTAATATTCCGACAAACTTCTATCTTATGTAAATTAAGTGACCCTTTGAATGTTTAAATGACAACCTAATTTATTTACCAAATAAAAACCACATACATTATTTATTCCCCATGAAAACACTTCATAGTGCCCCATCCTTTTTAATGTTAACATAGGCTGTCATCGCTTTATTGCTCAAAAACTGTTTACCTGAAGAGACACTCCCTAAAGCTCATACATTGTATTTCTGGTTATCAACCAGTTTCAGAAGAAAAAAACCACTGACTCAACAAAACAGGCTAGAAAAACATGTTTTACTTCAACACGTGTCTTTATGAATAATCCGTCTAATCAGTGGCGTAGCGAGGTCGGGTGTCACCCGGTGCGGCACTTAATGGTGTCACCCCCCAGAGGCGTTGCGACCCTTCCCGGGGACAAACTTTCAAGTTTTTGATTTGCACCCCCCTCAAACTTTCGATTTGAACCCCCCTCCTCAAGTTTTTGATTTGCACCCCCCCCCCTCAAACTTTCGATTTGCACCATCCCCTCAAGTTTTTCTCTATATATTTTGCTATTTTTTGCCTTGGTGTCACCCCCCTAAATGGTGTCACCCGGTGCGGTCCGCACCCCCCGCCCCCCCCCCCCCCCCTCGCTACGCCCCTGCGTCTAATGGCTAACAAAAAAGGACCATCTTGTGATTGGCGAAGACAATAACTCTTTAAACCAAACATATTCCTTTTAAAGTACACACCTACTCGTTCGTCTATTTGCATCGTTCGAAACGATGCAAATAGGCGAACGAGTAGGTCTAACATTAAAAATACTTAAAACATTAAGACTTAAAGTATTTTTAATGTTAGACCTAGTTATTTGAAATGACAGGTCGGTTAGTGACGTTCTTTTTATGTAATCAATTAAAAGGAGTTAAAACCCAACCTAGACGACAGGAGGGATCTTCAATGATACGACTAGCTTTACCTCATAAGTATAGAGAAAGAAGTGATAAAAGTAGTATATTAGGTCCCTTTTGGGTCGCATGGGTGAGCAGGATGCGGATGCGGATGCGGAACAAAGGCTATATAGGAAAATACTCCCTGCCTGGGTGAGCCGCAGGAACAATGACATATAGCAAAATATTCACCCACCAGGGTGAGGTGGGTGATCCGCAGGAACAACGGGATATAGTAAAATACTCCCTGGGTGATGCGGAGGTACACCGACATATAGTAAAATACTCACCCACCTGGGTGAGGGTGGGTGAGCCGCAGGAACAATGACATATAGTAAAATACTCACCCACCTGGGTGAAGGTGGGTGAGGGTGGGTGAGCCGCAGGAACAACGACATATAGTAAAATACTCACCCACCCTAGGGTGGGTGATGCGGATGCGGAGTAGGTCAGTAGGTCACCTTTTGGTGACCTTGTGACGTAATTAGTAACATTATGACGTAATCATTGACCTAGTTACGTAATTTTAATGTTTTTTTTAATTAGTTTTAATGAGTTTTTTAAATTTTAATTAATTTTTGACCTAGTTACGTAATTTTATTGTTTTTTAATTAATTTGATTTTAATTACTTTGTTTGTGTTTTGTTTGTTTATTTTTAATAAGTTTAATTAATTCGATTTTTTATTTATTTTGTATTTGTTTGATTTTAACTTTTTAATTATTTTTATTTTGTTTATTTTTAATTTAATTATTTTATTTTTAATAAGTTTAATTAATTTGATTTTTATTTATTTTGTATCTAGTTACGTAATTTTAATTTTATTTTATAATTAGTTTGAATTTTTATTGACTAGTTATGTAATTTAATTACTTTGATTGTTTAATTAGTTTGTTTACTTGTTGTTTAATTTAATTACTTTGTTTATATTGTGTAATTTTTATTAACGAGTTACGTAATTTGCTTATTTGTTTGAAATTCATTTTAATTAATTTGATTTTAATTACTTTGTTTAATTTATTTATTTGATATATTTCTTTTCTTTGTTGTTTAATTTGTTGGTTTGTTTATTTGGTTGTATGTATGTTTTAAATTCTCCCCTACAACGACCGTGTACAAAAAACAGGTTAAATTCTCCACCACAACGAACGTTACAAACATAGAACATCCATTAAAGATAACGATCAGCCACATGCGTTTTTTAATTAGTTTTAATGAGTTTTTTAAATTTTAATTAATTTTTGACCTAGTTACGTAATTTTATTGTTTTTTAATTAGATTGATTTTAATTACTTTGTTTGTGTTTTGTTTGTTTATTTTTAATAAGTTTAATTAATTCGATTTTTTATTTATTTTGTATTTGTTTGATTTTAACTTTTTAATTATTTTTATTTTGTTTATTTTTAATTTAATTATTTTATTTTTAATAAGTTTAATTAATTTGATTTTTATTTATTTTGTATCTAGTTACGTAATTTTAATTTTATTTTATAATTAGTTTGAATTTTTATTGACTAGTTATGTAATTTAATTACTTTGATTGTTTAATTAGTTTGTTTACTTGTTGTTTAATTTAATTACTTTGTTTATATTGTGTAATTTTTATTAACGAGTTACGTAATTTGCTTATTTGTTTGAAATTCATTTTAATTAATTTGATTTTAATTACTTTGTTTAATTTATTTATTTGATATATTTCTTTTCTTTGTTGTTTAATGTTGCTTATTTATTTGAATGTATGTATGTTTTAAATTCTCCCCTACAACGAACGTGTACAAAAAACAGGTTAAATTCTCCACCACAACGAACGTTACAAACATAGAAC